TGTGCTCTGTCCCGGGTGATCCGCAAGCCAAGATAGCTTGTCAGATCACCCAAGTCTGTGCACGTGTGTCTCTTCTGGAGCTCCGACTTCACGTGGGCGAGTGCCTCAGTGTCAGCAATAGCAAAGACTAAGTCGTCTACGTACACGAGAACGTAGAACGGCGGCAGAGTGGTGTCAGTGCGAAGAAACAGCGACGGGTCAGCAGTGGAAGGAGCAAACCCAAGAGCAGCAAGAGTCGTCCTCAGTGTGTCGTGCCACTCACGGGGTGCCTGGCGGAGACCGTAGACTGGCCGCCGGAGGCTCCACTGGGTACCAGCAGGAAACGACCCACTGAAGCCAGGTAGGCGGCGCAGCCAGATCTCCTCGTGCAGGCTGCCCTGTAGGAAAGCTGTGCTGAAGTCAAGAGAGTGTAGCTCGTAGTCACGCTGAGCGGCGACGTGCAGCAGCACCCGAAGAGTGGTCATCTTCGGGGTAGGGGAGAAGGTCTGGAAGAAGTCAACTCCCTGTCGCTGACTGAAGCCACGAGCAACGTAACGCGCCTTGAAGTCAGGTGGAGAACCCGGCGGCCGCTTCACCCTGAAAATCCACATGCCACTGACGATGTTCGCCCCAGGAGGGGGAACCTCGTTGACGTAGGTGAATGTGGACTTCCAGGAAGCCATCTCTGTGTCCATGGCTGTCTGCCACTGAGAGGAGTAGGGACCCTCTATCGCCTCTGTGTAAGAGCGTGGGGTCGGGATGTCTGGAGCATCCGGGACTCCCTCAGGGGCAAGCAGCATGGAAACGAGATGAGGTAAAGCAGCGGCAAAGCACTCAAACTCCTCCTGTCTGTCCTCAAGAACGTCCGTGCCAAGAGCACACTCACCCCCGACGGACGGAGGACAGACAGACGCAGACTCAGACTCAGCAACAAGACTAGCGGCGTAGTCTAGACGACAGGCGGCAGCAAAGTCAACAAGCTCAGCAACTAGAGCAGACGCAACAGTGGACTCAAACGAAGGGTCAGTGACAGCAGTGGCCAGAAAACGCGTGACAGTAGGACTAGCAGCACTAAGGGAGTCAGACTCAGGGTCCGGACCGTCAGGAAGAGAGGACGCAGGAGGAGACGATAGAGGGACACGCTGTGGAGCAGTGGAAAGACGCAGAGTCATAGAGTGAGTGCCAGGGACAGGAGGAGGACGCTGACGCGGAACACGATGACCAGTGCGAACAGCGCGAACAGGTGACTCAGGACGAGACTCAGGTGACGAAGGACGAGACTCAGGCGACGCAGGACGAGACTCAGGCGACGCAGGACGAGACTCAGGCTCACGACGCTCCGTAAGACCTCTTGTCGGTCCAGAGTAAGGAGGAGGACCAGGCAGTGGAGAGGACGGGTGTAACTGCGACTGTGACTGGAGAGGCGGTGGACTCAGTAAGGGAGGAGCAGGACCAGTAGAAGGCGGGAGACCAAGAACCTGCTAAAGAAGCGGAACGTAGTACGGCCGCGGCCGCGCAGTGCCTCCAGAAACAGCAGAGACAGCACCAGTACCCTCAGCTCCAGGGTCTCTAGCTACAACTCCCGCAGCACCACCAGCTCCAGTACCTCCAGCAGCTCCAGCTCCAGCAGCACCTCTAGTAGCAATAGCTCCAGCACCTACAGCTCCAACTCCTGCAATACCTCCAGTACGAGCACCTCCGGGACCAGCTGCTCCAGCACCTCCATCAGCTCCAACACCAGCAGGACCTCCAACAGCTCCAGTACCTCCAGCACCAGCACCTCCAGGACCAGCGGCTCCAGCAGCTCTAGCACCAGCAGCACCTCCAGCAGCTCCAGCTCCAGAAGCACCTCCAGTAGCTCCAACACCGGTAGGACCTCCAACAGCGCCAGTACCTCCAGCACCAGCACCTCCAGGAGCTCCAGCAGTACGGCGACAGTACCGAGCGTACCACTCACGGAGCCGCTGCGGAGAGAGGGGCTCCCGCCGTGACGGGACACCCGGAGGACCTCCAGAATCAGCACCCTCAGGCTCAGCACTCCCAGGCTCAGCACCCCCAGACTCAGCGCCCCCAGGCTCAGCACCCCCAGGCTCCACACGCTCAGGCTCAGCACCCCCAGGCTCCGCACCCTCAGACTCAGCAACCCTAGGCACAGCACCCCCAGGCCCCGCACCCGCAGGCTCAGCACCCCTAGCAGCACCAGAGTCAACAGCTACCTCGACATGCTCGACAGGGTCCACCTGGGACACACCTGAGGGGGCAGGACCCTGAGGGGGGAGGGGGTCTACCGAAGGAGCACCTGGTGCTAGGAAGAGGGGCGGGGGGGGGGGGGGGAGAGGCTGTGCGGTAAGGAAAGAGACGGTAGTAGGAGACCGACTTGTCAAACGTGACGTCTTGAGAGGACAGAACACGACGCGATGTGGGGTGGTAAAACTGCCACCCAGGTGCGTCAGGGGGGAAGCCAAAGAAGACGCAGGGAACGGCATGGGAGCAGTGTGCGGGTCGCGCGCTGGGCAGCAAGCGAGCAGCGCGACGGGCAGGGCAGAGCGCGTGGGGCAGCGCAGGCAGGGCAGCGTGAGGAACACTGTTCGGGCAGGGCAGCACGGGCAGTTCGGGCAGATCTAAACTAGCGGTGGGCCCTAACGGAGCGGTCCTACGGATGGGCCCGCTTTGAATACCATGTCAGAAATAGTACGTAGGAATGATTGACTAGGATGCAAGGATGAGTACAAGTACTAGGGTTGACCTGAAGTGTTGTACCCCTTAGAGTGTGCCCCACTACAGCCTAGAGATAACAAATGCAATTTGACACAGGGGCGCGAAGTAAGGAAAAGGAATTTTCCTTACACCACTGAATGGCAAGTTGAGACACAGCCTGGGTTAACTGGCCTTGGAAAAAGACGCACCACTTCGCTTGAGAAAGGAGGGGCGGTCAAAGAGGCCTTGTACGCTGTTCAGTGTGATTCTCGCTAAGGGAATAGTTACACAGAACCATCAGTGTGGCCTAAAGCATTACCCTTTCAAATCAGGGAAAATCTGATCTAGAAAATAAATACCCAGAGCCATCAGTGTGACATACAAATTTCACCCTGATAATCACTGTATCAGGGTAATTTCGTACTACTAGGAAGGAGCATGCCCTTACTAGTTATAACAAGCCACAGAAAGCCCCTTCAGCGTACCGTAAGTCCCCTACCTAAGGTCTTACCCAGGGCTGATTTTATCAGGGTAATTACCCTGATTTCAGGGTGATTTCAGGCTTTCCACTTCGTGGAGACTGAAATTTCAGAGTTATTGAATTTCCAGCCCTGATCCAATCAGAGTAATAGTTTAGCTATCCCTGATTTTGAGTACAGTGTAACAGACTAGGCTGTTAGTGGACCCTGACTTAACAGAGTATCGACTGTGTGGACCCTGACTTATCGAGAGGAAGTTTCTCGGAAGTTTCCTTGCGATGACCCCGCCTTGGATTGATCGCAGTGATCCCCCCACATGTGCGTAATCCCCCCCTTCCCGCTTTATCGAGACGAAGTTTCTTCGAAACTTCGTTCTGATCGAAACTTCGAGACTTTATGGAGAGTGGGGATATTTTCCCCGACTTATCGAAAGAAAGTTTCTCGGAAGTTTCCTTCCGATGGCCCCGCCTTGGATTGATCGCAGTGATCCACCCACATGTGCGTAATCCCCCCCCTTCCCGCTTTATCGAGACGAAGTTTCTTCGAAACTTCGTTCCGATCGAAACTTCGAGACTTTATGGAGAGGGGATATTTTCCCCGGTAACAAAGCGCGCGTTACTACTCTGATGTTCAGTTCTCGACCCTGAACAATCAGTGTTACCGTCATACCCCGGATATAAGCGCCACCCTTGGATAAGCGCCTGGCGCTTTTAATTGGCGCATGGCGCTTATATCCGCTACTCGATTATAAGCGCACCCCCTGAAAAAACTTGTTTTATTATAAGCGCACGTAAACTTTAAATTTTGAAATGTGTTCAAAATGCTGTAACGATTTTTACTTTAGCAGGCGGATGTGTTGCAGATTCGGTTCCCTTCACATTCGGACCCTGCACTGGATGCGGGTCCAGTCAGCAGGAGCTGTTAGGAGCTGTCAGGAGCTGGATGTGAGTCAGATTGGGTGTATCTCCCAGCGCGCGCGAGAATTTCACAGACGACCCCGTGTAACTTCGACTCGATTGGAAAGGCAAGCACGAGATCTACAGTTTGGTGTAAAAAAATAGAAAAAATATATATGTCATTTTATAAACGCCGGCGCTTATAAATTTACTCGATTATAAGCCCACCCCCCTGAAAAAACCTGTTTTATTATTGCCCCCCATGGGGGTATATCCGGGGTATGACGGTAACTACTTTACAACCCTGAGCAATCAGGGTACTGCTTTTCTGGAAAATGTGCACCCATAATAGAGGGGGAAAATTTTCCCCGGAATCAGGGAAGCTTAAAATGAAACGTCAGCCCTGGTCTTACCCCCTGCACCAAAGTAGTGCACATGAAGAGCTGCTATTGTGAAAAAATGCAAATCATGCACCCTGCCAGTGAGCAACACCCCACATGTGATGGAACCGCCATATGTAATTGCTCAACACGTTGTTTCAACCGGCCGGCACCCTATAGGTGCCAGTTAGCACGGCGCGGCTCTAATGGCCTATCTATGGATGCAGGGGAGATGCGTTAGCCTGCATCATAATCTCACCTCACCTCACCTCACCTCACCTCACCTCACCTCACCTCACCTCACCTCACCTCATCGGTTAGTGGGACGCGAGTGGGTCACCACATACGGTATGATGGCATATGGCAGTCAAATGAAGTGAGTAGCGGGAATGGGAGTTGTGCCCCTCAGTAGAGGGAGAGTGAGTCGTGCACTCTGGCAGTAGCAGCAGGTGCACCCCCGTTAGAACCCCCCAAGCATCACAGATGGCTCGAGGTGGCTTCAAGTCCCTCTCCATCAATGCGTGGCAGTTAGATGGAATCAGTAGAGAGAAAGGAGAGAGGAGTGTTCCTCAGTAAAGGGAGAGCGAGTCGTGCACTCTGGCAGTGGCGGCAGGAGCACCCCCTTTAGACAGCACCCCCCGCGCGTCACAGATCGCCCGAGGCGGCTCCAGGTCCCTCTCCATGAGAGAGTGGCCCTGCAGTCGCTGCATCTGCTGGGTGAACAAGTTATCGAGAGTCTGATGGGGGGGGGAGGGCAGGGGAAAAGTGGAAGGGTGGCATGAACGGGATGTTTGAGAGTGGGGGCGTGCGGCTGTGGGAAGGCCACGGAAAGCGAGTGCACCAGGGTCCCTCTCTATCACCATGTGGCCCTGCAAGCGCTGCCTCTGCTGGGTGAACACGTTATCGAGAGTCTGATGGGGGGATTTGGGATTGGGGGGGGGCGGGGTGGGGGAGATTGGCATGATGGGAATGTTATGTGTGAAGTTATGGGATGGCAACTGTGCTTACATTGAGGTTGATAATACCTCGTGCTTACAAAAGGGCAATAGCTAGCCGTGCTTATATAGACGGTAATATCAACTTGTGCTTACATCGAGGGTGATGGCAGCAGAAGCATTCTTGAATCACGACACCCCCACCCGCAATTCCACTGAGATGTTTCAGTACTATATTCCTAAGAAGCCGTGCAATGTCGAGGGTGGTGTATATATATCTGTGCTTACATCGAGTGTGATAGCAGCAGAGGCACTCTTGAACCACGACACCCCCTCCCTCCTCTTCTCCAAGAAGTGCAGCACCTCCCTCCCATGCCGGTCCCACAGGCCCCTTGCCGTGCCCACAAACACCCGACTGCTTAGCACAGCATCAGCCTGATGGGAGGGGGAAAGGAAGGAGGAATCGGGAAAGGGTGGGGGTGAGGGGGGGAAACGGAGAATGCGATGACTCAACAGGCCCCTTGCTGTGCCCACGAACACCCTGCTGCTCAACACTGCGTCAGCCTGATGGGATGGGGAAAAAGGGAGGGCGGGAAGGGAAAAGGGAGAGGGTTGGGAAGTGCAGCACCTCTCGCCCATGCCGGTCCCACAGACCCCTTGCTGTGCCCACAAACACTCGGCTGCTCAGCACTGCGTCAGCCTGATGAGAGGATGGGAAACAATGGGAGCAAAACGGGAAGGGAGGAGGTGAAGGGTTGATAAGTGCAGCATCTCCCGCCCATGCCGGTCCCACAGGCCCCTTGCTGTGCCCACGAACACCCGGCTGCTCAGCACTGCATCAGCCTGGTTGGGAGGGGGAAAAGGAAAGGGGGGAAGGGAGGAGGGAGAGGGTCGGGAAGTGCAGCACCTCCCGCCTATGCCGGTCCCACAGGCCCCTCGCTGTGCCCACGAACACCCTGCTGCTCAGCACTGCGTCAGCCTGGTGGGATGCGGAAAGAAGGAGGGGGGAAAGGGCTGGAAGGGTGGGGGAAAAGGGAGGAGGGACATGATTGAACAGACCCCTCGCTGTGCCCACAAACACACAGCTGCTCAACACTGCATCAGCCTGATGGGAGGGGGAAAAAGGGGGGGAAAGGAGGGAGAGGGGGAGGGGGGAGGGGGGAGGGAAGGAGGGAGAGAGGCAAAGGGAGAAGCACTTAGGGCGGCTCACTAGGGGGTCCCATCAGGCCTTCAGTCAACCTTCAGTCACGGGGGGGAGTGTGTGCGAGCAAGGGAGTAACAGTCACCTGCGCTAGCAGTGACCCAATAAGTGTGGACAGAGGCTGCAGCTTGGACGTCCTGCCTACAGGCACTGCAGCAGTGAGTGGAAGCGAGTAGTTGAGAAGCGTGCTGACACGCTCACCTGCGCGAGCAGCGATCCAATCAGGGCAGAGAGTGGCTGCAGCTTGGACGTCATGTCGTCGCCTGCCTGTGGTCGCACCTCCTTGAGCACTCGCTTCAGTGATGTGGTTCGACCCAGCTGGGTCTGAAGGGGCGAGGAGGGGAGGGAAAGGAAAGTGGGGAGGAAAGGGGGGAGCGTGAGTGATGAGGTTCATCAGAACGGTCAAGTCGCACATCCTTGAGCACTCGCTTCTGTGATGTGGTTCGGCCCAGCTGGGTCTGAAGGGGCGAGGAGGGGAGGGAAAGGAAAGTGGGGAGGAAAGGGGGGAGCGTGAGTGATGAGGTTCATCAGAACGGTCAAGTCGCACATCCTTGAGCACTCGCTTCTGTGATGTGGTTCGGCCCAGCTGGGTCTGAAGGGGCGAGGAGGGGAGGGAAAGGAAAGTGGGGAGGAAAGGGGGGAGCGTGAGTGATGAGGTTCATCAGAACGGTCAAGTCGCACATCCTTGAGCACTCGCTTCTGTGATGTGGTTCGGCCCAGCTGGGTCTGAAGGGGCGAGGAGCAGGAGGGATTGGAAGGGAGGGAAGCGAATGGAGGGGAGTGAGGGCACAGAGGGAAGTGGAGAACCAGAAAGCATGGTTTCTGGTTCCCAGGAGAATGACCCTGCTTCAACACTGGCTTCATTCTCTCAGATAACACCTCCCTCTCCTGCACTACCTCACTCACATTCTAGTATAACTTCAAGTGTCGCCTTGTACGTTGTCCTCAGCTCCACAGTCACCTCACTCAGCATCTCCCCAGATAACACCTCCCCAGATAACACCTCCCCAGATAACACCTCCCCAGATAACACCTCCCCAGATAACACCTCCCCAGATAACACCTCCCCAGATAACACCTCCCCAAATAACACTTCTCCAGATAACACCTCCCCAAATAACACCTCCCCAGATAACACCTCCCCAGATAACATCTCCCCAAATAACACCTCCCCAGATAACACCTCCCCAGATAACACCTCCCCAAATAACACCTCCCCAGATAACATCTCTTCGGAGAGCAACCTTTCAAAAGACACCTCCCTCTCTCCCCCTCCATACTCACATTCTCGTATAGTTTCTCCACCACGCCTTGCAATGTGGCCCTGTACGTTGTCCTCAGTTCCACCGTCACCTCACTCAGCATCTCCCCGAATAGCACCTCCCTTCCCCCCGCCACCCCCCCTGCCCCTGCTCCCCCTGCCCCCCCTGCTCCCCCCATTCCCCCTGCATCCGCCACTCCGCCTCCCTGCCCCCTCCCCCTCCCCGCTCCAGCCTCCCCCCACCCACTCCCCCCACCAGCGCCTCCCCCGCCCCCTCCCCCTCCGCCTCCTCCTCCCCCTCCCCCACCGCCAGCAGCAGCAGCCACTCTTTTCGCCGCAGCTCCCAGCATGGAAGCAGCGGCAGCAGCTGCACCAGCAGCAGTGCCTCCCCCCGAGGGCCGCTTGGGGGGGGGGAGGTTGCGCTGGGGGGGGCGGATGAGGGAGGCGGGGGGAGTGTTGGCCACCCACTTGCGCATTCGGAGCTCCACTGTTGGTCGCAGGGTTTCAAGCATTCGCTTGATGGTGTTGAGATACACTCCCAGCTGAAAGGGAGAGAGAGGGGCAGGGAGCGGAAGGGAGGGAGGGAGAGGCAGGGAGGGAGGGGCAAGAGGGGAGAGGCAGGGGCGCGGATGAGGGAGGCTGGGGGGGTGTTGGCGACCCATTTTTGCCATCGGAGTTCTGATAGAATTGGAACTGAACTGATTGCTTGATAAGGAAGGCACTAGGCCTTAAGTACAAACAGGGTTGGGTTGAGCAAAGCTAGGGAAAGGATGGGATGGGAATCCTAGCAAATCTCCAATTGGTGAGTTGGCAGATTTGCAGGATTACGAGGGAATCCCAACCAGATAGGGTTGGGATTACAAATCTACACCCAACCTACAAAGTAACCTAACCGATATAGAATATAGTACAAAGTGTTGACTGACTATTTCTAACACACCCCCTAGGCTGACAACACTTCAGCCACATGGCGGCCCAACACCCATGGACGAGAGGAGGCGGTAGTGGTCTTGGCGAACAAGAGACTTGGTAAACAAGTCAGCAAGGTTGCAGTCGGAGGCAATGTGTTCAGCCTTCAGCTGCTCGCGCTGCACCAGCTCACGAAGAAAGTAGTGACGGACCTCAATGTGCTTGGTGCGGCCATGGAAGACGGGGTCCTTTGTGAGATGAATGGTGCTCTCGTTGTCACACCAAAGCGTTGGGGCTGGTTGAGGATACCCAAGTTCTGCCAGCAAGAAGGAGAGCCAACGGGCCTCTTGGGCAGCCATGGTCCCGGCATACAGCTCTGCCTCACAGGTCGACAGGGAGACGGAAGACGACCGAGTGGAGCGCCAACTGACAACCCCACAGCCAAGGGTAAAGCAATATCCTTGGGAAGAGCGCCGATCACTCTGGTCATCAGCATAGGACGAGTCACTGTACCCCTCAAGGCGAACAGGGGAAGAGCCGCCAAGAGTGAGCACATAGTCCTGTGTGCCTTTGAGATAGCGGAGGACCCGCTTGGCGGCAGACCAGTGGTGGCTCGTGAAGCGACCAGGTGCAACGTAGCGAGACAGGACACTGACTGGATAGGCCAAATCTGGTCGAGTGCACATCATCGCGTACATGAGGGAACCGACGAGCTCGGGGTAAGCCTCATCACAGGGCTCAGGTGAGGGAACAGAGGGTGCAGTGAGTTGGTGCTGCAGAGAGAGTGGGGTGGGCATTGAAGCTGCTTCCTGCATCTTAAACCTGGTCAGAACGTTGTTGATGTAGAACTTCTGCGAGAGGGTGATGGTGCGGGCCGTGCGATCACGTGTGATTTCCATGCCCAGATAGTTCGTCAGTTTCCCAAGATCCTTCATAGCCAGCTTCTCACCAAGTGCGGTTTTGACTGCTGCCAGCTCAGTCTGATCCTTGGTGACAAGGATCATGTCATCGACATAAACCAAGATGAAGAAGCGGGATGGTGTTGCTCGGATGAAGAGGCTGGGGTCAGAGGTGGATGGGTGAAAGTCGAGGGACCCTAAGGTGCTCTTGAGCTTGTTGTGCCATTCCCGGGGTGCTTGCTTGAGGCCATAGACTAGTCGATTCAGCTTCCATACAGTGCCTGGTGGAAAAGGAGCTGGAAATCCTTCGGGCCGCTCCATGTAGATTTCCTCTCGAAGGATCCCTTGCAGAAACGCATAGGACACATCCATGCAGTCAACCTTCATGTCATCTCGAGCGGCAACATCGAGAAGGGTGCGCAGTGTGGGAGGTTTGGCGGTGGGAGAGAATGTCTCAAAGAAGTCCAGTCCATGCTTTTGGGTAAATCCCTTGGCACAGTACCGGGCTTTGAAGACGGGAAATTCGCCTGGAAGTTGTTTCACCCGGAAAACCCATTTTCCCTTCACAATGTTGACGCCGGAGGGAGGAGAGACATCTGTGAAAGTTCCTGTGTGAATGAAGGCCTCACACTCTGCGACAATGGCCCCTAGCCACTGAGCGGCGTGAGGACCAGAAACTGCTTCAGCATAGGTGAGAGGTGTGGGGATGGAGGGGTTGTCCGAGAAGTTGAGGGTGGGAGATTCTGCGATATCTGGAAAGAGGGAGCAGAGTGCGTGTATGGCTGAGTCAATCTCAATCAACTCCTCATGTCTGTCCTCAAGAAGGGAGGGCATGAGCGAATAATCACCCCCGACAGGAGGACGATTGAGAGAGACACGAATGGAAAGGGAAAGAGGCTTGGGAGCTTTGCGCGAGCGGGTGCGACCAGCGATGGGGGAGGGAGGCGGAGCTGGAGGAGGAGCTGGATCAGGAGGAGGAGCAGCAGCAGGAGGACGGCGTTGGTAGGTTTTGAGAGGAATGGGCTCGGGGGCGGGAAGGAGCGGGGGAGACTGCGTGGTGCTGGAAGGGGAAGCGGGTGACGGGGGGTCGGAAACTGTGGAGGGAGCAGGAAGAGGAGGAGATGGAGTGGTGGCAGGAGGAAGGCTGTCAAAGTCAGCCCAAGTAAGAGAAGGAGGCGGAGGAGAAGGAGAAACTGTGGAGGAGGGGTAGAACGGGTGGGATTCATCGAAGAAAACATCTCGGCTGCGATAAAGTTTGTTGGTGGTAGGATGGAGGAAGAGGTAGTCTGGCGAGTCCGAGTTGTGCCCGAGGTACACGCACGTGATTGTTTTCGGAGCAAGCTTGCCGCCAGCTGCACGACGGGCTTGGGAGTTGAGGAGAACATAGGAAGTGCACCCCCATACACGAAGAGGGCGGACGGACGGCTTTTGACCCGTCCACAGCTCTGCGGGGGTGGTGTGGGTGTGGTGAGGATGAGGATGGAGATTGTGGAGGGCGGCAGCATGGAGCATGGCGTATCCCCAAAGAGAGGGAGGGGCGGACGCATGAGTGAGGAGGCAGCGAGCAATCTGCACCAGGATGCGGTTTCGGCTCTCAGCAACACCGTTCTGTTGAGGGCTGTCTGGGAGGGTGAAGGTCTGACGAATACCCTCAGTAGAGCAGAAAGCTTTGAGAGTGTTGTTGCGGAATTCACCGCCACCGTCAGAGTGAAGAATCTTGATTTTGGTTTTGAAGTGTGAATGAGCCTGCCTTGCCCATTCCATGATAATGGCTGGGGCTTCAGACTTGGCGGTGAGAAGGTGAACGGACACATAGCGGGAATAGTCATCAACGATGACAAGGAAGTAGAAGTGTCCGCCACGGGAACGAACAGGAGCTGGACCCCAAAGGTCCATGTGTACGCGATCAAGAGGTGCGGTAGAGGTGGACTCAGTGGGAGGATGGGGCTGTTCCCGAAGCTTGCTCTGTGCACAGTCAAGGCAAGGTGGTCCTGAAAGAGAGGGGGGTTGTGGAAGTGAGGCGGGCAGCCCATGAAGGAGTTGTTTGGTGGCAAGGTCTGAAAGTGCGCGGAAGTTGATGTGGCCGAGGCGAGGCGGTTATGAAATAGCATAGTCTTGTCATTGAGGAGGCGGCAGTGACATGAGGGGGAGTCTGAGGATGGAAGCGGAAGGTTGGTGAAGGAGCATGTTTGAACGGGAGGTACAACTAGTGTGTACAGGTTGTTGGAGTTGAGGGTGAAGCGGGCAAGATGGAGTCCGGTTTTGGCGTCAAACATGTCACAGTAGTCAACATCATTGGGAAAGATGGTGATCACGCCTGCGTGTTGGATTTCCCGCTGTGCAAGAAGGTTGTAGCGGAGGGTAGGGGCACAGATGCCAGTGACTGTGCCGGATGGGAAAGCTGGACAGGAAACTGTGGAGGACCCATGGCATTGGATGGAGAAGCTAGAATCGGCTCCAAGGAGTGAGGTGGGAGCCTGGTAGGGAACGAAGGCAGTTTGGTCTTTAAGCACTGTGTGGGTGGCACCACTGTCTAGTATGAACTCAATTCCCTGTGTGGTTGAAACACTGATGTACTGCGACCCCTTCTCATTAAAAAGACCAGCACCAGAGAACAACAGGTTAAGGCGAACATCAGATGGGGCACTAGCAAATGCCTGAGCAGGTTCCTCCACTGCCTCGACCTGGTTCACGCGACGGGATGGTGCCCAGTTGGGAGGGCGCTTGTCCTTGGAGACACCGTGGACGTCATACCACTCGTCATCTCGCTTCTTGAAGCAAGTTGCCTCAGGGTGGTTGGTGCCGTTGCATTTCTGCCCCGCACGTGGACCCTTCCTAATGAGGTACTGGCATGGGGGAAAGGAGTTGCGCCTCTGGCCCTGCTGGGAACGAAATGGGATGCCAGGGGAGTAGCGCACAGCATTGACGGATGTCTGGGCTGCAAGGTCTTTTTCGGCAGAGAGAAGGGCCGAAGCGACTTTCTCGAAGGTGAGTTCCTTGGTGGGGAGCTGCTTGAGCATGGAACTGGTGACGTTGTAGGCCGGGGTGAGTCCGACGAGAAGCCCAGCAGCAGGTGCCTGTTCGGGGAAGGTGATCCCAATGTCCTTGAGCTCCTCATGGATGTTGCGGATTTCAGAGATGTAGTCTGCCATGCCCGGGCATTCCTCAAGGCGGATTTGGAACATGCGAGGAATGAGGATTGCAACTCCCACGGCAGTTTTGTTATGAAAGCGATCCTGGAGGTACTTCCAAATGTCATGAGCAGAGCGGAAGGTGCGGTAGGACTTGACTAACTCGACTGGGGTGGTGGTGATGAAAACCCTAATCACTGCCGCATCCGCCTGCTCCCAGAGACTGAAGTCCGTCTCATACTTGGTGGTTTTAGCGTCGAAAGCAAGCCTGGCTGTGGCAGTGGCGCCTTCGCCGAGAGGATCGGGAGGGAGAGGCATCTTCCCCTTGCCGCGATTGAGGAGGATGTCCTTGAGGCAAATCCCCTTGAGCTCCGAGCTAAGAAGGTGCTTCTCCACTCCATAGCACCACTCCCCGAAATTGGTGCTCGTGCCGTTGGGAGCGAGGTTAAGGATGATGAGGTTTCCGACAAGAGTGGAAGTTGAAGTTGCCATTTCGCGCGGAGCGCAGCGCTAAAGTCTCCGATACGTAGCGGAGCGAAGAGGAGCGGAGTTCGGGTGATTTTGGAAATTGAGGAAGTTCGAAACGCGATTTTTGGCAATAGAATGCCCGTACTATACCCTGATAAACTGCTTCGCCAATGCCCCCTGTTCTACTTCGCTGCTGCCCCTGTTCCGCTTCTCTGCTGCGCCGCTGACCTGTTCTGCTGCGCCGCTGACCTGTTCTGCTGCGCCGCTGGACCTGTTCTGCTGCGCCGCTGAACCTGTTCCGCTGCGCCGCTGAACCTGTTCCGCTGCGCCGCTGAACCTGTTCCGCTGCGCCGCTGAACCTGTTCCGCTGCGCCGCTGAACCTGTTCCGCTGCGCCGCTGAACCTGTTCCGCTGCGCCGCTGAAAACCTGTTCCGCTGCGCCGCTGGACCTGTTCCGCTGCGCCGCTGAAAACCTGTTCCGCTGCGCCGCTGGACCTGTTCCGCTGCGCCGCTGAAAACCTGTTCGAAGTTAAGAAGATGCGAAAATTGCCACGGAGATATAAAAACCAGAAGCTTACGATGAAGGAAGTCGAAAGCTGAGAATGTCGCCGTTGAAAAACGAGATGCGCGATGAAGGAAGCCGAATGCTCGCTTGACCGGAGCGACGATGTGAAGTTTCTGAAAAACGCTAAGCGTAGGAGCCGGGAACCGAAATAGGCATAGCCTAAAAGGAGAGAACCATCGGGACGCAAAGGATCGGATTCCGCGTGAGCGGAATTTACTAGCTCGATACCATGATAGAATTGGAACTGAACTGATTGCTTGATAAGGAAGGCACTAGGCCTTAAGTACAAACAGGGTTGGGTTGAGCAAAGCTAGGAAAAGGATGGGATGGGAATCCTAGCAAATCTCCAATTGGTGAGTTGGCAGATTTGCAGGATTACGAGGGAATCCCAACCAGATAGGGTTGGGATTACAAATCTACACCCAACCTACAAAGTAACCTAACCGATATAGAATATAGTACAAAGTGTTGACTGACTATTTCTAACAAGTTCCACTGTTGGTCGCAGGGTTTCGAGCATTCGCTTGATGGTGTTGAGATACACTCCCAGCTGAAAGGACAGGAGGGGGAAGAAGACAGTGGGAGGGAAGTGACGGAAACGACAGAGAGGGAAGAGGGGGAAGAGGGGGAAGAGGGGGAAGAGGGGGAAGAGGGGGAAGAGGGGGAAGAGGGGGAAGAGGGGGAAGAGGGGGAAGAGGGAGTAGGGGGGAAAGAAGGGGGGGGAAAGGGAAATGGCACTGACTCACTGGTACTATCAGCACTTGAGATGGTCTCGCTCGCCCCTGTAGCTACGCATGAGCCAAAACATCTGTACGTGGTATGAGCTCAACCACTCACCTCTATGGGTACTTGGTAGGCGAGTGTGGGGCGGCGGCGCGACAGCATGCTGAGAAGCTTTTTCTTGGTGGAGGAGGAGGAGGGGGCGGCGGAGGAGGAGGAGGGGGTGTTGAGGAGGAGGAGGAAGTTCTGGAAGTGAGAGGCGAGGGATGAGATGGCTGCTCGCTCCACATCACACACCGCCTGCAGAGGTGAAGCATGGGAGACAGGGATCACACACAGACACAGGGAAACATGGCGAACATGTGAGTCGGAAGAGGGTTTGTGAGGAGGAGGAAGTTCTGGAAGTGAGAGGTGAGGGATGAGATGGCTGCTCACTCCACGTCACCCACCGCCTGCAAGCACCGGTACACAAGGGCAGACAGATGCACATGGGCAGACAGATGCACATGGGCAGACAGATGCACATGGGCGTCATGTGAGAGGGACAGGGCCACATGGGCCATACGGATTCACGGCACGAGACACGGCAGGAGACACGGCAGGAGACACGGCAGGAGGCACGGCAGGAGACACGGCAGGAGACACGGCAGGAGACACGGCAGGAGACACGGCAGGAGACACGGCAGGAGACACGGCAGGCACACCGCATGAAATCACATGTGCAGAAAGATACACATGGGAGGCATGTGAGAGGGACAGCCCGGGCAGGGCCACATGAGCTTCAGGATTCACAGCCTGCATGGGCATCAAAAGGATGGATGGGTGACACACGGTAAGGATGGATGGTCATGCAGAGGGTATAGATGACCCACGGTATGGATGACCCACCCACGGTATGGACCCTCCTACTTTAACCATCGCATCTGCAGCCACTCCATCTGCAGTCTTAAACCATCTGCAGTCTTAAACCATCTGCAGTCTTAAACCATCTGCAGTCTTAAACCATCTGCAGTCTTAAACCATCTGCAGTCTTAAACCATCTGCAGTCTTAAACCATCTGCAGTCTTAAACCATCTGCATCTTAAACCATCTGCAGTCTTAAACCATCTGCATCTTAAACCATCTGCATCGTTAACCATCTGCAGTCTTAAACCATCTGCAGTCTTAAACCATCTGCAGTCTTAAACCATCTGCATCTTAAACCATCTGCATCTTAAACCATCTGCATCTTAAACCATCTGCATCTTAAACCATCTGCATCTTAAACCATCTGCAGTCTTAAACCATCTGCATCTTAAACCATCTGCAGTCTTAAACCATCTGCATCTTAAACCATCTGCATCTTAAACCATCTGCATCTTAAACCATCTGCATCTTAAACCATCTGCAGTCTTAAACCATCTGCATCTTAAACCATCTGCAGGCACATCAAGGCTGCCGTCTTCGACTTCCTTCTTCACTAGCATCACCTCCTGTGGCCACCCATCCCCTTACAACCTCCCCTCCATCCCCTTAAAACCTCCCTCCATCCCTCCAAGTCTCTCACCTCCTCCACCAGAAGTGGCCATTTGCCCAGCACGGAGTCAAGCTCATCTAGCAGACTCTTGATCACCCCACAGCCCTCCCTCGCTGCATCGTAGCCCCCTCCGTAACACCTATCCCCCCAGAGCACTCACCTCCTCCACCAGATGAGTGTACTGCGGCCATCGGCCCAGCACAGAGTCAAGTTCGTCTAGCAGACTCTTGATCACCCCTCTGGCCCATCCCATGCACTGCATTGTACCTCCTCTCCCCCATGCACTGCAATGTACCTCCTCTCCCCCATGCACTGACCCCATCTATCCAACCATTGCACTCACCTCCTCCACCAAAAGAGTGTACTGCGGCCATCGGCCCAGCACGGAGTCGAGCTCGTCTAACAGGCTCTTGATCACCCCACAGCCCTCCCTCGCTGCATCGTGCCTCCCTCCATACCACCTATCCCCCCATGGCCTCACCTCTTCCACCAGCAGAGCGTACTGCGGCCATCGGCCCAGCACGGAGTCGAGCTCGTATCACCCCTCTGGCCCACCCAATGCATTGTTGTACCTCCCCCCAAACCTTAAACCCTAAACCCGGCAATCTCCTCATCTCGCACTCACCTCCTCCACGAGAAGGGTGTACTGCGGCCATCGGCCCAGCACAGAGTCGAGCTCGTCCAGCAGGCTGTTGATCACTCCGTACACCTCCTCCATGAATGGTGACGTGGCGTTGCGGTCCGACATGGGTGCTAGCACCGACCACTGCATTAGGGGAGGGGGGAGGAGAGAGGGGGGGAAGAAGTGCGAGACACGTTATGAAAGGAGAGTGAGAGGGGGGGAAAGTTTTGCAAGGAGAGTGAGACATCACGCGGACAGGCAGGCTGTTGATCACCCCATACACCTCCTCCATGAATGGTGACGTGGCGTTGCAGTCCGACATTGGCACTAGCACTGCCCACAGCATTGAAGCAAAAAGGAGAGGAGGAGGGAAGATTGGGAGACAGGGGGAAAAGGCGTTTCGAAACGAGGGTGAGACATCACGCGCTCTGCCTGCTGTTGAAACTCCAACAGCACACCCCATACACCTCCTCCATAAAGGGAGATGTGGCGTTGCGGTCTGACATGGGTGCCAGAACTGGCCACTGTGTGGCAAGAAGGGAAGAACGGATTGAGGAGGTATGGTACGGGGCATTGGGGAGAAAGGGAGATAGGGTTGCTGCCACCAACAGGCTGTTGATGACCCCATACAACTCTTGCATGACAGGCGGCATGGCATCGTGGCCTGACATTGGCGCTGGCATCGCCCCACTGTAGGGGAGGGAGAAGGAGGGGAGATGGGAAAGAGTAGTTCATGTATAGAGGTTGCTGAGAGCCCGAGGATGGAAGAGCAGAGCAGGAGGAGAGGGACGAGGAGGAGAGGGACGAGGAGGAAAACGACGAGCACAATAAAGGGGAAACAAAGGAAGGAGAAAGAGGAGAGAGGGAGGGAGCACGTGGAGACTAGGAGGGAGCAGCACACACCTTGGGAGCTCGGCAGACATCCATGAGAGTGTGGGTGCGCTCCCTGATCCATGCCTCCACATACACCCCGAATAGCTCCCTTGCATCCAGGCCTCCGGGTACCTTGCTGCTTGAGATGACAAGGGGGGAAGGAAAGATGCAAGCAGCAGTGATTGGAATTGCTGATGCAAAGGGAACAGCAATCATGTGGATGCGAATTCACAGCCAAACCGGTATTGATGCAGCCATGATAACTCACCCACCTTAGCCGTTTTGAGGCACCTAAAGAACCATGCACCATGAATTCAAACCGAATTCGTCTTTTGAGAATTCTGAAAAAAAAAAGCATTCAGCCTGATAAACCACAGGTTGATGCAACCATGTTGCTCCACTCAACCCACCATGGGTCAACACAAACAAGCAAGCGTGAAGCCCCACTCACTCACCCCACGCCCCACAGCATGAGCCTATCCTCCACGTCAGCAGTGGCGTGCAGCAGGTTCTTGACATGTGGCAGCGGGTGCTGAGGTGGCACCGCCAGCAGGAACTGGTTGACTCGCCTCTGCAGCTCCACCATGTACACACCTGCTGTCAACTCGGGCAGGTCCACGAAGCTGGGAGGTGGGGGGGAGAAGGGAAGAAAGGAAGGGAAGCGCCAGTTATTTCAGGCATGCCAAGCCAGCCCTCTCCACAGCTCCACCATGTACATGCCGGCTGTCAACTCGGGTAAGTCCACAAAGCTGGGAAAGGGGTCAAAGGGAACGAGATGGGATGAGGAAGAAGGACGAACGGAAACGATGTGGCAGCATTGAATGCGGATTCGCCTCTTTCCGCACCTCCACTGTGCACACGCCAGCTGTCAGCTCGGGTAAAACCACAAAGCTGGGAAGCGGGAGGGGGATGGGATGGGATGAGATGAGAATGGAAGGGAATTGAGAGATGCGAAGCAGAGGAGAGGCGTCTGCAGCTCCACCGTGCACACGCCCGCTGTCAGCTCGGTCGGGCAAGAATCTGTTTTTTTTTTTTAGAATTCTAAAAAAAACAGATTCAGCTCAGGCAAGTCCCTCCTTTGGATCCACACAGGTGAATGGCGGATCACAGGACTCCGTGACACCTACACCCCTCTTCCCCCCCTTTTTTTCTCCCTTTCCCCCGCTCGCTCAGCGGCCTGGTCTTGATACGACCGTATTAATCTCTATGAACCCACCTGGGAAAAATCATATGATAATAAAAGTGTTTTGAGACGTCTCAAAACGTCTTGATACGACCGTATGGGTGGCTGGCTGTGAACCCACCTGGGCAGGATGTGCTGGTTGTGAATGCCTATATCCGCCTGCACCTCTCTCCACATGGCCACACACGCCAGTCGCATGCTCCCATACGCCTCCCTCTGCTCCTCCATATCCCCCCCCTCCCCTCCCCGCATCGCCCTCCTCCCCATCCCCCCTGTCCCCATTCCCCCGGGCCCCCCTCCCCCTCTCCCCCTGCCTCCCCCCGGACTGCACCCCATGCCCGCTTGTCCCTGCCCCTGCGCCTGCCCTTGCATGGTGCTGCCCCCAGTGCCAAGGCAGAACGTGCCGTTGACGTATTCGTCGGTCTCTGACAGGTGTTGCCTGCACCGCCGCCTCGCTGCTGTCTGTGTGGGGGGGGAGTGGGGTGGAGGGGGGGCGGGGGGTGGGGGAGAGGCAAGGAGAATGTGGGATGCCAGCAGGACCAGCCAGTTTCAACGTGCCATTGACTCTGATTTTTCAGAATTCTCAAAAAAGATAACATGCCATAAGTGTTGCTGGCACCGCTGGCACCGCTGCTGTCCGAATTTGCCTTTGATGTAAGTGTGACTGTTTCTGATGATTGGTGCTGCAGCAGCACTGCTGTCTGTTTGGTGTTACTTTTGAGAATTCTCAAAAGGAAAGAGAGTTGGATATGGTTGTGGCGGATAGAAGGAGAGAGGAGGGAGGAGAGAGGAGGGAGGAGAGAGGAGGGAGGATGACCTGTTAATGAATACTCCTCTGATTCACTTGCAAATACCCTCACTTGCAAATACCCTCACTTGCAAATACCCTCACTTGCAAATACCCTCACTTGCAAATACCCTCAACAGCACTCACCTGCAGGTAACCACAGAACTGCTGCTGCACCTCTGGCAGCAACAGGTCGTTCAGCAGCCCAAACAGGTGCACAGCAGGGGGGATCGCCGGCACCACCAGTGCTGCTACTGCCTCTGCGCCTCCCAAGCATCCCCCCTTCATCTGCCAATACTCCCCCATTCCTCCCCCTCGTCTCACCTGCAGGTAACCACACAACTGCTGCTGCACCTCTGGCAGCAACAGGTCGTTCAGCAGCCCAAACAAGTGCACCGCGGGGGGAATCGCCGGTGCCACCAGCGCCGCTGCCTCTGCCCCCACCAGCGATCGCCCCAGGGAGGCACACATGTGGGTGGCTGAGCGGGACGAGTCGGCGATGCCTGAGGGGGAAGACTCGCTGAGGGACTTGTAGCTCTCGAATGTGAGTTGCAGGAGATCTCCCACCCGCTCTTCCATGTCTGCTAGCATGCGCGCCTGCAGCAGAAGGGAAATGGGAAGGGGGGGCAAGGGGAAACATAGAGGAGTGCAGAGAGGTCTGTAACGGTGATGAGGGGGTCGCCCACCCGCTCCTCCATGTCTGCTAGCATGCGTGCCTGGGGTGGGGGGAGGGAGAGAGGGGCGATTGAGGGGAACAGAGGGGTGCAAAGAGGTGTGCAATGGTGCTGAAAGAGGTTTCTCCCACTTCTCCATGTCTGTCAGCATGCACGCCTTGGGTGGGGATGAGCAAAGGGAGATTTGGGGGAGAACAGAGGGGTGCAGAGAGGTGGGTGGCTGTGCAAGAAGAATGCTCCTTTATGTCTGCTACCATGCGCATCTGTAGAAGGGGGAGGGAACGTGGAGGAGAGGAGGATAGGAGAGGGAAGGGGACGCAATCTAGAGAAGCGTTGTGGACGAGACACCAGCTTTGGGTGATTCAAATCTATCCTATTCAGTCACATTTCGGAGATTACTCACCTCCTGTTTAGTCACACTGCTGCCATCGCTGTCATGTGCATGCAGCACCGGCGCCAGCAGCTGATGGATCAGGGTCAAGCAGTCGGCTGTTGGTGTAGCTACGTCCATCACACGCGTGAGGTACCTGGCAAATGGAACAGGCATGGGATTCAGAAGCCGCATTGGAGGTATTGTAAGTGACTGGAGAATACATAGAGCGACAGTCCACTGTTAATGTTGCTATGTCCATCACACAAGTGAGATACCTGCAACACAAGTGAGATACCTGCAACACAAGGCAGAGATAGACATAGGTGAATAGAGCAAGAGAGGGATGGGTGGGAGTGAGGCACTCTGATGTGCATGCAGCACCACCGTAAACTGGTGGATGAGGGTAGACAGTCTGCTGTAGGTTTTGCCACGTCCATCACACGAGTGAGATACCTGTGCAACGGAGCCCAGACGGACACAGGTGAATAGGGATGGGTGGGGATGTGGCATGTCACATGCATGCGGCACTGTCGAAGCAGTCATGTAAATGCGGCACTCAAGCCAGAGCAGGTGGCGGACTGAGTTCCAGGCCAAAGGGCAAGTCACCTGAGCTTAGTGTAGTGAGGGGAGACGCCACAGCAGGCAGAAAACTGATTGCAGAGCCACTCCCAGGGGCCCGAGAGGCGGAGGTTGGGCGCGTGGGATCTTGGGTGTTTGAAGGACTCTTGAGCGAAGCGCACCTGAGCTTGGTGTAGTGTGGAGACACCCCATAGCAGGTGGCGAACTGGTCACAGAGCCACTCCCAGGGGCCCGAGAGGCGGAGGTTGCGCGCGTGGAAGCCCTGAGCTGCCATGGCTGCTGCGAGCACCCAGTCGTATGCTGCTGACTCCGTGATGGGCTGGCACTGGTGGGGGGGTGAATGAGGGTAACAGTGAGGTATAAACACCAAAAAGGAGGGGGAGCAAGTGAGATCAGTGGACTGAGAGGTGCGAGCGTGGAATCCCTGAGCTGCCAGCCATGGCTGCGGCCAGCCAGCACCCAGTGGTATGCGGATGACTCTGAAAAGGGCCGACACTGATGGTGGGGGGACAGAAAAGAGGAGAGAAAGGAGCAGCAGTTATCATCATGGCAGCAGCAGCATCCATGAAGGCTGAGGTTGGGAGAGATGATAACTGAGCTGCCATGGCTGAGGTTGGGAGAGATGATAACTAAGCTGCCATGGCTGAGGTTGGGAGAGATGATAACTGAGCTGCCATGGCTGAGGTTGGGAGAGATGATAACTGAGCTGCCATGGCTGAGGTTGGGAGAGATGATAACTGAGCTGCCATGGCTGCTCCCAACACCCAGTTGTACGCTGCTGTCTCTGAGATGGGCTGGCACTGGTCGTGGAGGGGGGAGGGGGGGGAGAAGCGATTTTAGGGTGAATAACACTGAACAGTTTTGAGACGTCTCAAAACCCTTCTTCATACACGCGAGTAACACTGAACGGGGTGAGTCCTGAGTACAGCACGGTTCAGGTGTATCCCTGTGAGACCACCCCCTCAACCACTGAACGGTGTGTTCTCAGTACAGCACGGTTCCCGCACATGACCGCACATGACCGCACATGACCGCACATGACCGCACATGACTGCACACGTCCGCACATTGCCTCACACTCTCACATACCCTCACGTTCAAGTCGACTCAGCAACAACCAAATTTCCACACACCTGTGTGCCATAGTCCCTGGCGCAGGGCACGAGAGACACAACACATTGACAACACCCCCACATCCCCCCTCACACCCGCACACCACATTACATACCTGCGTGCCATAGTCCCTGGCACAGGGCACGAGAGACACGGCGATCTGCACTCGAGCCACCTCCTGCTGACACGTGTCCCTCACTGCGAGCCAATGGCAGCGCTGCGACAGTGACATGTGGGCGCCCGGGTGCTGAAGGGGTAGAGTGTGACAGCGGAAGGGGGGAGAGGGGAGAGGGGAAGGGGAAATGAGGGAAGAGGGCGACAGAGACATGTGGGGACCCGGGTGCTGATGGTAGATTGTGCAGCAGAGGTTGGGGGGAGAAAAGGGGGGAGGGGGCGAAAGGGCGGGGGGTTAGGGGGGTTGGGGGGAAGAAGCAGCAGGTTCAGAGGAGCGTTGGTTTCAGTAACAGCCAAGGACAGTGGTGAGACAGCCACAATTTTGACAATCTTTCACATATTTATCCCTACTCTCCAATTCACCCCTTATCACTTATCCAATCACCTCCCACTCACCCTATCACTCACCCTATCACTCACCCTATCACTCACCCTATCACTCACATCTGGCAATCACTGCGATCATGCACCCCTTACCACTCACCACTTCACCGCTTGGCACTCAGCCCTTCGTCCATGAGCACAGCAGCTGCCACCGTTGCATGTCCCCTTAACTCACTGCCATCATGCACCCCTTATCACTCACCAGCTCACCGCTTATCACTCACCCGTTCACCCCCCCTTCACCGCTTATCACTCACCCCTTGGACCATGAGCACAGCAGCAGCCACTGCTGCCTGCTCCCTGCACCCACTGGAACCACCCATCACCCATGTACCCTCATCGTGCAACGAGCCCATCCCAGTTCTTGCCAAACACCCCAGCGCCCCTTATCACTCACCCCTTCGTCCATGAGCGTAGCAGCAGGCACTGTGGCCTGCCCCCTTAACCCAGTGCGATCATGCACCTCCACCACCACTTCTTGTCTATCGCTTTCCACAGGCCTGAATGTGAGATAGGGGGGAGAGGGCAGAGAGGGTAAAGAGGGATCAGATGGACGAATGGGCATGGCAGCAGGCACCGTGGTCTGCCCCCTCTACCCACTGCGGTCATGCACCTCCACCACCACCTCCTGTCTCTCGCTCTCCACAGGACTGTTTGTGTGATAGGGGGAGAAGGAGCGGTGCAAGGGCAAAAGGAATCAGGCGTGGCGTGTGAGCATGTGGGCTGCCCCCTCTACCCACTGCGATCATGCACCTCCACCACCACCTCCTGTCTCTCGCTCTCCACAGGACTGCTCGTCAAGAAAGAAGCGGTAAGAGAGGGAAGAGAGAGAAGAAAGGAGGATAGGGACGAGGCGAACGTGATGCTGCCGCCGACTGTCTTTTGAGTCGACTCAAAAGTGGACAAAAAAATTAGGCGCACGTGATGCTGCTGCCGTCTGTTCACCCTCCACAAGGTTTGATTGAGTCAACTCTACAGTCATTGCAAAGAGGGGACATGAATTCTGTGATTTTAGTAGACTCAAAACTTGCCGTCTGTTCACCCTCCACAAGGTTTGATTGAGTCAACTCTACAGTCATTGCTAAGAGGGGACATGAATTCTGTAATTTTAGTAGACTCAAAACTTGCCGGCTGATCACCCTACACAAGGTTTGATTGAGTCAACTCTACAGTCATTGCAAAGAGGGGACATGACTGGTCTCACTGATTGGCATGTGGGGTGTGTGATGTGTGCGGCATCGCTTACGTTGATGCAATGGTGGGTATGTGTGTTGGGTTTGTGTGATGAAGATGTATCGTGGGGGTGTGTGCAGCAGGGCTTACAGGTTGATGCAATGGTGGGTGTTGGGGTTGACCCTGATGGTGCAGGGTGTTTTTGAGAATTATCAAAAACACCCTTTAAAAATCTTGGGGGTGTGTGCAGCAGGGCTTACAGGTTGATGCAGTGGTGGGTGTTGGGGTTGACCCTCCGTGCTTCACCCACCTCCTCTGACGGGCACCGCACGGAAACAAGCACTCCCTCTGACAGCAGCCAGGGAACCAACAGATAGTGAGAGGAATGGTCAGAGGAGCATGAGAGCAGAGGGGAGAGAGACGCAGTGGTGTGGTGTGGTGTGGTGTGGTGTGGTGTGGTGTGGCGTGGTGTGTGTTGCGAGGGTTGGCCATCCGTGCTTCACCCCCCCCCCCTCCCCCCCCCCCCCCCCTCCTTTCTGATTGGCACCGCACGGACACCAGCACTCCCTCTGACAGCAGCAAGGGAAGCAACATAGAGAGAGAGAGAGAGAGAGAGAGAGAGAGAGAGAGAGAGAGAGAGAGAGAGAGAGAGAGAGAGAGAGAGAGAGCAATCAGGTCTGCCCCCGAGATGGGGCACACACTCCGCCTCGTCAGCCTGAGAGGTGAGGGAGCGGGGGCATGGCTGCAGGCCCTACCCCTAACCCCAGATCTCTGCTTTTCACCAGGGCAATTCCGAACAGCCCTGGCCTTCCGCATGGGCATCCGGCAGAACGTACCCACCGTGTGCGAATGTGGAGAGCTCGTAGCCGACTGCAGCCTCCCCAACCACTTACTCCGCTGCAGCACAGGCCCTGACCGAACACGCACACACAACCAGCTGGCTTTCGCCGTGACTAAAATGGCGAGGGAGGCACAGCTGGTGGTATACCTGGAGAACGCGATGTACTCACCACCGGATGACCCGAAGAAGGCAGGTGTGATTGTACGCGACCCAGACAGTGGTGAAACATGGATCACAGACACGACCATCACTGACCCCGTGCTACAGAACCGTGACCCAGCAGCCCGCAAACCCCCTGGATGGGCTGCAAGGGAGGCTCAGAAAAGGAAGGAACGGGACTACTACAGGCACACAGAACACGTGGTGTTCTGCGCCCTAGCCGTTGAGACCTATGGGGCAAACGCACCCCCCACGACGGCGTTCCTGAAGCTTCTGGCCACAGCAGCAGCTAGGAACCGCTTCAGGGCCAATCCCTTGGCGAAAACCGCCAAGAAAATGGCATGCCACTTCAGCCAGCGCTGGTCAGTGGCCCTCCAGCGCTCTCAAGCGAATGCCCTGCACACCAAGGCCAGGGCAGGGATCGAGGCGGCGCACCCCCAGATGGCAGCAGACCCATGGCCGCTGCACCTGGGGGACATCCTCCACACGCTGGAGGGGTAGAGGGTCACTGAGGGGGGAGGAGGGTCAGAGGGATGGGCCAATGGGGCAGAGGGTCTAAACGGAACCACAAATCAAACCGTATGCTTGTACCGCCGCTGAATTAATACAAAGGACCATTTGAGAGAGAGAGAGAGAGAGAGAGGGAACCTTTAGCCTCTTCCCTCACGGGGGCAGGGGACTGGTTACACGCTGTCCCTCTAATCCCTTCCCTACGCCTCGGGCCCTCCCAGTTCTCCTCGGCAGCCTCCTTCCGCTTGGGCCTGCCCTTACCTGTGCCAAGACGCTGCAACTGCAGATACCGAACCACCTTCCCTGACGACCGCTTGCCTAACCACCTGATGCGGTGTGAGAAAGGGGGGGGGCGAATAGCCACTCACCATGCTCTGCGGGACGAGTGCGCAAAGATAGCAGCTGAAGCGGGCTTCACAGTGCACAAGGAAACGACGGCATACTCACCAGTCGACAACCTCAAAGCGGATATCTCTATCCGCCGTCCCGACACTGGTGAGGTCTGGATTTGTGACATCACAGTCACTGACCCCGTCTCCCACCAGGACGAGCAGGCCCGTAAGGCGCCCGGATGGGCAGCAAGGATGCAGGCGGACAAAAAGGAGAGCAAATACACCGGGCGGAGCGCTTGGGTTGGCTTTTACGCCATGGCAGTTGAGACATACGGCTACCCCTCACCGGGAGTCCTCGACTTCATCCGCAGCTGCGCAGAGCTAGCGGGCAAGCGGCGGTTCAACGCCGCTCCGAAGTCGAGGGAGGTTGCCAAGCTCCTTACCGAATACCGGCAGCGATGGAGCGTGACTCTGCAGAGAGCCCAGGCCAATGCCCTCAGGGTTAAGACCCATGAGGCCCTTACGGCGGATGTGCTCGGCTTGCAGGGCCCTCTTACCCCACTGAGCGAGGGCCAACTGTACCAACTAATTGAAGACCCCTCCGGCTACTAGAGCCGGAAGGGGAAACGGTTCCTAGCGGTGCTAGATTGTGGAGATCTGCTGCTAGCTTGGCTATGTGTAGATGTGGCCCTACCTTGTGTGTACCCTGGTGATACTAATACAATGGACCGTTCGAGAGAGAGAGAGAGAGAGAGAGAGAGAGAGAGAGAGAGAGAGAGAGAGAGAGAGAGAGAGAGAGAGAGAGAGGACTTAGCCTCTGCCCTCTCCCTCTGCCCTCAGTCCCTAGCTATATAAGTGTCCCGTGGAGACCTCTTTTCTTCATTAGTTCATTTGGTTCCAGTTTTCGTAGCCTCTGAGAGTGAGAGAGAGAGAGAGGACTTAGCCTCTGCCCTCTGCCTCTGCCCTCAGTCCCTAGCTATATAAGTGTCCCGTGGAGACCTCTTTTCTTCATTAGTTCATTTGGTTCCAGTTTTCGTAGGCGCTCGCGCTGGCGGCCTTCGGCCGCCAGCACTCGCGTGCGCGGTCTGCGGCCGCGTGCTTTTGGGTGGCAAAGACTAGAAGAAGGACAGATATAGGCACACACGGCAAGACAACTATGGGCAATGTGCCCACCTTCTAGACACCGAGATGCAACAGGTCTACATACGGCGGGTGCCTGAGGCTACATCAAGTGGGCATCCAGTGGGCACCGAGATGCAACAGGTCTACATACGGCGGTCGCACCGACAGCTTCAATCGCGCCTCCATCGCGGAGGTGTGCTGTCAGACCCTGGACCGTCTCGTCCAGCTGCGAGACCGCTACGCCTCCCAGCGCGGGCGCTCACAGCACGGGTAGGAGGAGGAAGGCAAGCTGGGCAGCAGCCGCCATGCAATCAGCTCGCGCATCACGATCAAGAGTGCTCCCTGGGTTCCGGAGAATGGCAAAATGTGAGTTCACCAGAATCAGTGTCAGGGCCTGCTGACACTCCACCAATCGCCACAACTGGGCGAGAGTCGCCGTGGGAACTTGGGCCAGCCCAGTGGTCAGTAGCGCAGCCGGAGCAGGAAGAGGGGGCGGGGGCTGCACTGATGGAACATCAGCACGCTGCCGCGGAGGGACGAAGGCCACCCTCGCCCCTCCGCCTCCCGCCCCCACAAATCCCGTGTCTGGAAGAGGAGGAATCCATGGCAGCAGGGGATATGGCGCAGCAGAAACAGGACACAAGGATGCACGCGGAGCACGATCAGCGCCAGGAGCGGGAACCCGCGGGTACGCCAATGCGGGTGGCGCAGGAGCAGCAAGGGGCGCGGCCGGAGCTTGCGCATTCACTGGAGCGGGGGCGGACGCAGGAGCGGCGGGAGCCAGAGAGTTTCCAAGATTCGGTGCGCCACTCAGGGCACTGCGCATCGCCGCAGCTAACATCCCCGGGAAATCCTCGCGCAGCTGCTGCATCTCGCTTGGCCCACCGCGCCCGCGACCGTGACCTCCCCACCAGCCACCGCGGCCTCCGCGGTGCGCCGACCGGTACGACGAGGAGGGGCGTCGCCGAGGAGAACCTCGCCCCCGATGCGCTGCCACATTGCCCCCCGCGGCACCGTGAATCTGAGACTCCGCGTGCCGCTGCGCGACGGGATGCACCGGCGCAGCCGCAGGGGCCACCAGGCGGGCAGAGTCGGGGCCGGCGCCCACCGCTGTCCCCGGCGCAGGGCCCCCGGCGGCAGCTTGGACAGACAGCGCGGCCACAAGCGACGGCTGCGCGACGGGAACCGGCGCGCCGGACGTGGGATCAACGTGTGGAAGGCTCGGAGGGGGAGCCGACACCGGCGGGACTGGAACAGAGGACGCCGCAACAGCAACAGGAGGAGCCGGGGGGGCAAAGGGAGCAGCAGCAACAGCTACACCAGCAACAAGGGCCGGAGGCGGAGCAATCGCGCTCTCAGCGGTGCGACCTTGATCCACCGCTGACTTCTCCGCTTCAGTCGCCATTGCGGCGAACGCGCCGACAGCAGGTGATCGAGGACGCACGGCTGCGTCAGAACGCGGGAGTAGGTAGTCGCAGAAATCCCCAGCTGACCGCGGCCAGTGCGCGGGCACGAGGGGGTCGAGCCGGAGGTCGCGGACGTGGTAGAGGCACTCGTGAAGGAGGTCCGGAGAACGCGTTCCAGGCAGCGGCGCGAAGGGCTTTAACTGAATTAGCTAGAACTAACGAAGAAGTAGAAGTATCGGGGAGTATTTATGAGGCGGAGGAGGGAGAAGAAGGCGCACCCTCAACTTCGAATGCCTCGGAGGAGGCCCAGTCACAAACTCCAGCTCGGGGGAGAATCAGCTCAACCCATGCCCGAAGCGCGTCATCAAATTTCAGAAACACATTCACCCAGCCGCGACCCTCACCACAGATTCAAACCGCTTCCCGCCCCCCTGCCACCACTGCCAACCATCCCGCCCAACCGAACCTGACTTCGCCACCTGCAAATGCACCGCGAACTGCAGCGAGGGGTAACCAACAGCAACCACAGCCCCCCCCCCAAAAATCGCCCGAAGCCCTCGCCAAGGACGACACACTATTCGCGAACGTCAGTACCTGGAATCTGGATAAGCTACGCGATAGTCGCAACGCTCCGCTGGCACGTCGCCTGCCGGAAAAATTGCGCCTACTTTTCGCTATGGTTATGCTGACACCACTGCTACGACTCGCACACGACCCAGACTCCATCCCGGCCTGGACGATTCTGCTGTTCGCGGCTCGCCTGACGCTGCGTCAGCATTCGCCGAGGCACCCTGACTGGAAGGCGACCAGGGAAAGATTGCGTAAATTCCTGCGAGGGGAGTGGGAGGCACTGTACCAGGAAACGGTTGATTCGTTGGAGTCCCCTCAGCCACCTAGACACCAGCCAGACGACCTGGGGGTAATATCAAGGGCAGAGGGTCTGGCGCGACGAGGCAGCTTACGCAGAGCAGTCATGGCACTGGAAGCCACCCCAGTCAGCAAGCCATCACCGGCGGTTCTGGAATCCCTCCGCGCCAAGCATCCAAGTGCCCCGCGCCCTGGCACACCGTGGCCCCAGCCTGAACCGGACTCATACCTGGCAGTTTCGCGGGAAGTTTTTCTGAAGCTCCTCTCGCGGTGTGAGAATGGGGTAGGCGCAGGTCCCTCGGGCACAACGTTCGAGCACCTGCGCGAAGCTGCCCTGATACACGCCACCGTTGGGTATCACTTACATGCGTTGGTCAACACAATCCTGAGAGGGAAGTTGTGTCAGGAAGTAGGGAAGCTCCTCACAGCATCACGTTTGATAGCCCTAGACAAGCCCGATGGGGGGACCAGGCCGATCGCCATAGGAGAGTGCGTCCTCCGATTGGCAGCCAAAGCAGCGCTTACCCAGCTAGCAGAAGCAGCCCGAGAGTTTTTCCTACCTTTACAGTTTGGAGTGGTCGTGCCAGGAGGTGCCGAAACAGTCATTCATATCGTTCGCACTTTCACTGCGGCCAACAAGGACGCCTTGGTCTTACAGGCTGACCTGGCCAATGCGTTCAATAGTGTTGACCGCCACGCCATGGCGACGGCCTTGAAAGACTCACAGTTGGAACCACTACTGCCACTGGTACACTTCTCATACGGCCAGCCTTCAATACTGCACCTAGACGCGGCCTTCGACCATCCGCCCCTGCTCAGCGAAACAGGAGTCCGCCAAGGGGACCCTCTCGGCCCCCTCCTTTTTGCCGCCGCCATGCAACCGGCTCTGAAGGCAGCTGCGGAGGCGCACCCCGAGGTCATCTGCTTGGCATACGCAGATGACGTGACCTTCTTGGGGGAACCGTCGTCGTGCGCGGCTGCGTTTAATCACTTCACAAGCCGCTTGGCTGAAATAGGGCTCAGCCACAATCCTGCCAAATGCGGGGCTTGGTCAGAAAGGACGCCCACGGATTATCGCCTTCCCGAGGGAATACCACCGAGCAGCGAAGGCTTGAAAGTGCTGGGGAGCTACATCGGCTCCTCCTCGGCAACCTCTGCCTTCGTTCGTTCCAGCTTGGAGGCGATGAGCGCGCCGCTGGGGTTGATAGAGCGCATGGAGCCGCAGCTGGCGGGACTACTGCTGTCCCGCTGCATCTCACGGCGGGTGTCATACTTAGCCCGCACAACACCTCTGCCTTTCCTGCCCAAGGAGGAGTGGTCTGAATGGGGAAGGCGGTTGCTGGAAACGCTCCTTACAGCATGTGGCATTAACCACCCGCGGGGGGATGAGGAAACTTCTCGCACGTGGGCGCAAGCCTCACTACCCATATCGCTTGGTGGCCTGGGGCTGACGGACCCTTCCGTGGAAGGAAGCTACAGCTTCCTCGCCAGCTACACGCAGGCGCAGCTCTTACTCGACTCCTTGGACAGCGAGTGCTCTGGCCCTTTGGAAGTCACGCGCGAGCTGATGCGCGGCCCCTACACCGAGTCCTCCCCCCTGACCGAGTGGCTGGCGGAATGCGAAGGGGAACTCCCACTTCCAGCCCAAGAAGTTCTTCAGGCTGAGAGATCGGCTCCAACTGCGGGGAAACTGCAGCCCGGGGTGGCCATGGCTATCCAGGGCCAGCGCTATGCCGTGCAGGTGGACGAGGTGCGGGGGATGAGCCCGAACCCCAACAACGGTCACACGCAGCGGATGCTGTCCCTGTCGGGATATGGGGCGGGGGATTGGTTAAACGCAGTGCCTATCCACTCCTCGCTCCGCCTTGAGGCTCCCCACTTTGCCAACGCGCTCCAGTTTAGGCTGGGGCTCCCATTTGCGGCTCCTGGGGTTTGCAACTGCTCGAAAAAGGTGGAGATCCCGGATAAGCGGCTCCCGAACCACCTGCTACGATGCGGAACAGGGGGGGGGCGCACAAACACACACAATGAACTTAGGGACGAGTGCGCACGGATGGCGCAAGACGCAGGCTTCATGGTGCATATAGAGACGGCCGCCTTCAGCCCAGTGGAGGAGAAGAAGGCAGACCTGGCCTTACGCTGCCGCTCTACTGGCGCCGTCTATATCTGCGATGTGACGGTAACGGACCCCATCAGCACCCGCGATGAGAACGCCACCAAGGGGAGGGGGTGGGCGGCACGGGAGGCAGCGGATAAGAAACACGGCCTTTACAAGGACCGCCCAGAATGGGTGAAGTTCTTCCCGCTAGCGGTCGAGACATATGGGTGCCCTTGCCCAGAGTCAGTTGACTTCCTGAAACTACTCGCGGAAACAGCTGCACGGCGGTTTTTCAACGCCGAGCCAACCTCCTACCAAGCTGCCAAGCTCTTACACCAATACCGGCAGCGGTGGTCGGTGGCTCTTCAGCGTGGGCAGTCGATTGGGTACCTGGAAAAGTGCAACATAGCAGCAGCGGTTGAAAACCCGCTACTAGAAGCAGTGGGAGAGGCCCCGTCCCTTGGGGACTGCCTCTCGGTTCTTGATCCTGCACTGGATCTCACTTAGAGGGTGTTGGGCGGATGGGTGGATAGGAACTTTATTCTGTACTAGCCACGTGACCACGTTCACGTATGTCTTGCATGCATGTACACCCTGACTATCAATGAACGGGCCATTAGAGAGAGAGGGAACCCTTAGCCTCTTCCCTCAGCCTCTTCCCTCTGCCCTCGTCCTCCCTTGCCTACATAAAGGCTGCTAGTGCCTTGCTTCTTTCATTATTTCCGGTGTGTGGAGAATGGGCAGACAGAGAGGGAAGCAACATAACGAAGAACAGGCAGAGCAGAGAAGGATGGGCAGTGGAGGGAGATGGCCAGGAACGAAGTGACCGGGTGGTGTGTGTGTTGGGGTGAACCAGCGGTGATTCATTCACTCACCTCTTATGTGATCAGCCCCAACCTTCCCTGCCCCGCCTGCTCCCCCTGCCTTCCCTGCCCCGCCTGCTCCCCCTGCCCTCCCTTCCCGTCCTGCTCCCCCTGCCCCTCCTGCCCCCCTTGCTTCCCCTGCCCCGCCTGGCCCATATCACACTCACCTGGCGCAGCAGTGGTAGCTTCAGCAGCCAGCCCCCTGAGGTTCGCCATGCCCCCTTTGATCTGCCGCATCATGCTGCTCACCGCTCCCCCTGCTCCCCCTGCTCCCCCTGCTCCGCCTGTTCCCCCTGCTGCTCCCCCCGCGTTCCCCTGTTTCTCGCCTTCCCCCTGCCCCCCGTCCCCCCCTCTCCCCTCGTCCCCCTTGCTTGTCATGCGCACCTTGCGCACTGGGGGATTGGTGGAGAAATGGGAGGAGATGGAGGGGAGATTGGGGGATGATTGATTGAAAAGGGCATGGGGGAGATTGAGGAGAAACGGACGATCAAGGGCCAGCGAGAGTGAAGGCAACACTTTCTTACCGACTCCATAAGGAGCACAGTGCGAGTGTGAGTGCAGCCCACCTTGCAGCCTCAGCGTGCCGATGCCGCGGTTCTTCTTTCGAGCCGACAAGTGGCCGTACGGGGAGAGAAGGAGAGCTGGAGAACCCATGTAGAGGGGGGGATGAGCTCTCATCTCTCCCATCCCTATCTCTCTCACTGTCAGAGCCACACCTTGCAGCTTGAGGGTGCCGATGCCGCGGTTCTTCTTTCGAGCCGACGAGTGGCCATACGGGGAGAGCGGAGAGCTGGAGAACCCATGTAGAGGGGACGAGCTCTCATCCCCACCCCTCGCAACCCCCGCTCCTGCTCCTCCCGCTCCTCTCCCTCCCCCTCCTCCCCCTGTCGCTCCTCCTCCTCCCCCCTGCCTGTCACTGGCGTCTGCTGCGTTTCGAGCACTCACAGGCACCAGCATGAGGGGCTGGAGGCTGAAGGGGGCGGGGTTGGGGGAAGGGAAGGAAGGGGGGGAGATGGCGGGGTAAGTGGTGATGGAGATGGCGGGGTAAGTGGTGATGGAGATGGCGGGGTAAGTGGTGATGGAGATGCGTCCAATAGTGATGCCGTCTGCTGCGTGCGATTTGAGCACTCACAGGCACCAGCATGAGCAGACTGGGGAGTGGTGGGGGGGGGTGGAAGGAGAGTCGAGGAGGGCGGAAGAGAAAAGTGCGGAAGGGGGAGGGAGGGATGAGACAGAGAGGTTTCAGGGGCAGTGCGAGCATCATGCAGCACATGGAGCATCATGCAGCACATGGAGCATCATGCAGCACATGGAGCATCATGCAGCACATGGAGCATCATGCAGCACATGGAGCATCATGCAGCACATGGAGCATCATGCAGCACATGGAGCACTCCCAGGCACCAGCATGGGTGGCTGGAGACTGGGGAGGAGGTGAGGAAGGGAAGGAAGATGGTGACGTTGAAGAGAGGGAAGGGAAGGGAAGGGAAGGGAAGGGGAGATGGTGCGAAAATGGGAAGCGGCCAAAGCACCAGTCTGTGCATCGAACACGCACAGGCATGAGCATTGGAGAAAAGGGAAGGGAAGGGGAGATGGTGCGAAAATGGGAAGCGGCCAAAGCACCAGTCTGTGCATCGAACACGCACAGGCATGAGCATTGGAGAAAAGGGAAGGGAAGGGGAGATGGTGCGAAAATGGGAAGCGGCCAAAGCACCAGTCTGTGCATCGAACACGCACCGGCATGAGCATTGGAGAAAAGGGAAGGGAGGGACAGGAAGAGGGGGAGTGGCGCCTTGACAAGAGAGGGGACAGCCTCATGGCACTCGTGGCACTCGTGGCACTCGTGGCACTTGTGGCACTTGAATTCAAACGGGGAATAGCAATGAAATGAAAACTCACTGTAGATTAAAGGCGTCTCCAAACACTTGGACACTCACCCAAAGAACGTGCGCAGAGAGGCGCAGGTAGGCATGAGCAAAGGGCGAACTCGAACATGTTCGAGTTCGACCACCCCCGAACATGTACTTTTGCCGAACCGAACAGTGTTCGGTTCGGCGAACTATTTAGCTGAAAGTTTGTGTTCGCCGTTCGCCCTATGTGGCGAACGATTTTTTTCAGCAGGCGAACACGAACATGTTCGAGACGAACATGTTCGTGTTCGCCCTGGGGAAAATTCACTATAGTCACACATGTCAGAAAACAGTTTTCAAGGTTCAGGATGATAGCAAAATGTGTGCAGGGTGTATATGTGTGCATGCAACGAACCCAATAGTACAACATCACATACTGTGAAGGGAAATGTCAAAGTCTAACAAATTCCTACACTAAGTGACTAAGGCGCCACTGCACTGCTACTACCAACAACAGCATCCTCTCCACCAGCTGTGTCGTCAGCCTCCACACCCTCCTCCTCCTCCTCCTCGTCATCCTCCTCTGCCCCCTCGCCCTCAATGGCGAACTCTGGTGGTGCGACGCCTCTCGGTCGGCGGCCCTCGCCTATCCTCTGGCCAGGGTGTGAACTGTACCATGATCTGAGAATCATGACAGCTCGCGTCCTCTGAGAGGCCAGGCGGTGCCGCTTCCAGGAAATGAGGTTGCGACCAAGGGAGAACACCCGCTCACTCGAAGCGGACGTGGCAGGGATGGCGAGATAATCCCGGGCCATGCGCCTCAGCGTCTGCATGTTGGTGGCACTGCGCCAGTACTCCAGCGCTGTCACGTCGCACCGCACCCTCTCGGACAAGTACCTGCTAACCTCGTCGTCCTGCACCATCCCACCCGCCCCCGCATCCTGGCTCGCCGACAGACGCGCCGCAAGTCGTCGGCGACTAGGGAGAAACTGCGCGTCATCGTCGTCCTCCTCCTCGTCTCCCTCCTCCTCCTCCGCAACGGGGGCAAGTGGGGTCGGCCGTGGAGCAAGCTCTGCAGCCCGGGCCTGGTACTCGGCCACGCGGTCGCGCACCAGCTTGATCACCTCGCCAGATGCCGGACGCGGCCTCACCCTCCTGTCGGTCTCGGGATGCAGCTTCTCCCAGTGCGCGTCGTCGAACCACGCCGCCTTCATGGATGGGTCCAAGAAGGTGGCGATCCAGTACTCGTTGCTGGTGATGTACGCGTACTTCTTCATGTGGCTCAGCGCCGCCACGATCATCGGCTGCAGCGTCGGAGATGGCCCCTTGGCAAGGCGCGACTCCATGGCGTCGATCAGGCCGTTGTAGTACGGCACCACCATCGACACAGTCGGGTACGCCGCCCCCTCTGCTGCCTTGGAGACCTTGGCGAAGGGGCTTAGGAATGTCTTCACCGCCTGCAGGGTCTCCCAGTCTGCGTCTGTCAGGCGCAAACTCTCCACCTTCTTCTTGTCGGTCTTCGACAAGCCCTGTCGGGTAGAGGGAATGGTTTGGGGGGAGGTATGAGGGAAACTGTGATTATGGAGGAGGATTATGGCATCCGGCCGGCAACATACAAGCATGACCAACAGTATTGTGTAGACGTGCTAACACACCACACCATGACATAACCACACACTACAACCCACACAAAACACAAGTGTTACCTGTGTCTGGGCGAATAAGACAGTGATGGGGTTCTGCAGAACACCCGCACGCTCGACCATGTCGTGGGTCGACCCCCAGCGCGTAGGACTGTCCTGCACCAGCTTCAACGCCGGCTTCGGCGTGGCGGGGTTGGCCTGCGAGTTCAAGGTCCGCTGTAGGCCCAAGAAAGACCCCGAGCGCTGTGGAGAGAAGCCAATCCACGACGCCATCTCTCTCAGTATCTTCAGCAACTTCCGTATGGAATCCACAGCCAGTGCTGCCTGCACTGCAAGGTTTATCACGTGTGCCAAGCACCTGCGCACGGAACACAACATTGGGAAAAAGATAAGGGGAAGTTGGAGGACACATTGTTAGAGTGAGTCACAAACCCATACCAGACCCCACACACCCTACAACTCGAACCGCACCGGCCCACCCCTCCATACAACTACAAATTGTCCATGCTGGAACGACACACCACAAAGGCAAACACACGCCCACACTCCCACACACCCAACCCACGCACACTCCCACACTCACCGGAAGTGCATGCGCGAGTTGAAGAAGCACTGACCACCACCCTCCTCCGACATCCGCCTGAAGGCGGCAATGTTGCTAGAGGCGTTGTCTGTCGTGAAACCAAGACAACGCCCCTCCAACCCCCACTGCACAATCGTCTCCTCAACCACCTGCGCCATCTCCCTCCCCCCATGCCGCCCGAGCATCTCACGGAACTCAAGCACCATTGTGCGCAGCTGGAAGTTCTCGTCTATCCAGTGACCAGTCACCACTAGCCATGCCTTGTTGTTGGGTGCCGTCCACATGTCGATGGTGATCGACACCTTGCACCCCAACTCCCCCTCCTTCGCCAGCATCTCCGCAATGGCGGACTGGAGAGCTGCTGTTGCATAGACCACAGTGTCGCGGGATACCGTCCACCGCGAGGGGATGAAGTTCTTCTGTGCGCAGTTGCGGTTTAGCAGGATCAATAGCTCCCGAAACTGGAGGAGGGTAGAGTAGAGACAACTGTGAATGGTGGATATCCGAATGGTGGACATGTGAATGGTGGACATGTGAATGGTGGACATGTGAATGATGGACATGTGAATGATGGACATGTGAATGGTGGACATGTGAGTGAATGGTGGACATGCGAATGGTGGTGGACATGTGAATGAAATACATGTGAATGGTGGATTACAATAGAAGCATGAAATAGTCAACCACATACTTCCAAAACACCAGGCATGGGACACTCACGGCCTCGGACTCGACGATGCGGAAGGGGAGGTCGCAGGTGACCACCAGCTTGGCAATCGCCTGCCGTAGCTCCTCCGTGGACAGCTTGGTTGTCATGAACCGCTCCATCCCGCATGACCCCCGAGCTCCACCAGACGCCGTCCCTTTCTTCTTGGCGAGATGCGGCCAAGACTTGGCATGCGGCCACCCATCGACGTAGCCATCCGGCACACCCTTGTAGCCCCCACGAGGAAACGTCTCTCCAGGCAAGTGAACGGACGGAGTGTGGTAACGGTGATGCCACACGTGCATGTGCGCTGTGTGGTAGCTCTCGAAGTGCCGCTCGCCGGGTGTTGTTGTGGATTGCTTCCACGAAATCCTGTCAGTGCAAATCTTGCACTGACGCTTCTCGTCTGCACCTTTAGGCCCGAACATCTGTACTTGCCACCCCAGATTCTTATTACCCTTGCCAGTCCCCTTACTACTCTCGGACCCTCCGTCCTCGTCTAGGAACTCCGGAGCGACCACACCCTCGCCCAAGGGCTTCCCAGTGAATGTGCAGGGATATGCTCGCTCCCTCAACTTGCTCGCCCTCTTCCTCCGCTTCGGCATCCTAATGGATGCCCGCTTTATCCCCACCTTAACCCCCACGCTCCCTCCTCCTTCAGCCACATGCTGTGAGGCCGCCTCTGTCGCCGCCCCTCCACCACCCTCTCCCACCCCCTCCTCCACCTCCTCTGGCTCCAACCCATCCATCTCATGGTCCTCCTCATCATCCCCCCCTTTCCCACCGCCATGCGTCTCGGGATCCCACCCGGCCTCACTGTCATCCTCGCTCCCCTCATCCTCCTCATCCTCCTCGCCCTCACCCTCCTCCTCCTCATCCTCCTCCCCACTCCCACTCTCCGGCTGCGTCTGCCCAGAAGGAGGGGGTCGCGGGCCTGAGTAACGGAACGAGTGACGGGACGTCGGCGCCGCTACGGAAAGAAACCCCCCGACGAAACAAGCGCCGGCTCCTGCAGGTCCATCCCCTACTCGCCCCTGCATAGGTCGTGGTGGAGAACCTGGTGTACCGCCCTGAGCGCTGCGTGCACCTCGTTCTACAGATCCATGTTGGCTGGAAGCCATAAATCAGCCCTCGGCCTTAAAACCCTAAAACCCCAAAGGAACGGTCGCAAGCCACGGATAGCACGGTCCTAACTGAACTCCTAGTTACGTGTGGCACGGAGAAATGCCGCCCCTACAACTAGGGAATTAACCTCTACGAAATTGATCCCGTAGCTACTACGAACTAACCCCTCGCGATTTCTGAAATTACCCTTCACTACTACGAACTACTTAGTTGAAATGTTCGTGTAATAATTAGGGAACGGTGTGTGGTGGCTCTTAGGGATGAAGCCTATGGTGGGTGAGGGAGGGAGGGCTAACCAACAAAGATGTGTTGAGTTTGAGCTCAAAAAATGAGCTCAAACTCAACTTGGCCGCGACCTAAATTTGGTCGCGGCCAAATTTGACGCGAACACTTTAGTGTTCGCGTCATCCACTGGACGAACACGAACATGTTCGGGCGAACACCGAACATGTTCGCCTCGAACAATTTTTTCCAAAAAAAAAAATAGTTCGGTTCGCCTCGAACATGTTCGTGCGAACCGAACAGGTGTTCGAGATCCTGCTCATGTCTAGGCGCAGGCATCGTCCTGCAGGAAGAAGTGTGTGTGGGGTGACCCCTTGGTTTCTCACTCTCATAGCACCGTTCGCACTCACGGCACCGCACTCGTCGCGGTGACTCACCCAAAGAACGTGCGCAGAGAGGCGCAGGCATCGTCCTGCAGGAAGAAGTGCGCGTGGGGCGATGCCCCCTTGGATGCCTCGTCCATGCACATGCGCACACATGCATCGTATGCTACTGTCGCACTCCACCTCTCTTCAGCACTGCATGTGTGGGACAAGGGACATGGGGCATGCATTGGGCACGGAGTAATGAACCCCTTGGATGCCTCGTCCATGCACATGCGCACACATGCATCGTATGCCACCGTTGCACTCCACCTCTCCTCCGCACTGCATTGGAGCATGGGGTATGGGGCATGGCCGCATGGGGATACCAGGAATTATATTTCACAGCCAAGAGCGGCAAGCCAGAGTTGTTGCAGGATTCGCTAGCACTGTTACCATGTCAAGCTGTGTGGTTACTGGTAACCCTACCTTGTAAGTTGCTGCTACCGTGTCCGGCAATCTACTAACCATGACGGGCAGTGCGGTTACCACATCACAGCTATATGGTAACCAGTAACCATACCTGGCGAGTTGGATGGGTTCGATAGCAGGCAGGTGAGCGTGCCCCGTGGTGCGATGGGGTGTGGCGGGGGTGTGGGGAGACAGACAGAGCGGTCTACTTCTGAGGCGCCTCAATGACAGTGCGGTTACCATGTCAGGCAATGTGGTTACCACACCACAGGCGGTGCGGTTACCAGTAACCATACCTGGCGAGTTGGATGGGCTCGACTGCAGGCGGGTGGGAGCGAACCGTGGTGCGTTGGGGTGCGGTCGGGGTGTGGGGATATATGGAGTGGCCTACACTTGCAACGACTGGAAAAACAGTGCGGTTACCACACCACTGGAAGTGTGGTTACCAGCAGCCATACCTGGCGAGTTGGATGGGCTCGATTGCAGGCGGATGAAAGTGCCCCGTGGTTCGTTGGGGTGCCGTGGGGGTGTGGGGAGACAGCGGTGTGTCTGCCCCCGCACGCTCCGTCCTGCAGTGAGACAGGGGAGGGGGAGGCAGGGAGGGGCGAGGGGGTGTGCGCATACGCGGGGGCAGCTGTGAAATGCGCAATGATGGTTCGTTGGAGCGCGGTGGACGTGTGGGGAGACAGAGGCGTGTCCCAGCACGCTCCGTCCTACTGGGAAGGGCGCGTGGAGAGGGGGGGAAGGGGGAAGGGAAGGGGGATGGGGGGGGGGAATGTCTGGTGAAGCGATGGGAATGGAGGGGGTGTGGGGAGACATAGGCGTGACTTCCCCAGCACGCTCCGCCCTGCTGGAAAGGGCGCAGGAGGGGAGAAAGGGGAAGACAGGAAAGGGGAAGAGGGGAAGAGGGGAGGTTGAAGCAATGCCCCAGCACGCTCCATCCTGCTGAAAGTACGACGCAGGAGGGGGGAAAGGGGAGAGTGGGAAGGGAAGGGAGGGGGAGAGGAGATGGGAGGGTGAAGCGAAGGTTCTTTGAAGCGATGAGGGCATGGTCGGAGACACAGGCACGTCTGCCCCAGCACGCTCCGTCCTGCTGGGAAGGGTGAAGCAGGAGAGGGGGGCGAAGGGGGCACACAGTAGTGGGTATGGGAAGGCGCTCAGAGAGGCACCTCGCTACAGCCGCCAGAGTAGGCTCGTGCTACAGCTGCCAGGGTACCCCGTGCTACAGCTGCCAGGGTACCCCGTGCTACAGCTGCCAGGGTACCCCGTGCTACAGCTGCCAGGGTACCCCGTGCTACAGCTGCCAGGGTACCCCGTGCTACAGCTGCCAGGGTACCCCGTGCTACAGCTGCCAGGGTACCCCGTGCTACAGCTGCCAGGGTACCCCGTGCTACAGCTGCCAGGGTACCCCGTGCTACAGCCGCCAGGGTACCCCGCGCTACAGCCGCCAGAGTACCCTGCGCTACAGCCGCCAGAGTACCCCGTGCCACAGCCGCTCAAGGAGTCCTCGCGTTTCAAGCTACACACCCGTTACGCTGGGTCGCTATGCTTACCTGTGAGCAATAGCCGTTTTCTTACCCCATGCGTAAAGCATATATATTCACCGTTATGCCGCGTTCCCATCATGCCAAGTACGCGCGTTATTCGCATGCCTACCCCCCCCTCCCCCTTCGCAAATACCATCTCCCCCACTCCTGAACAAAACAAAGTGACAAACTCGCGAGCATGCGATCTGCGCGATTCACCTCTGCGACGCCTGCGACGGCGAGTCCGTCGTTGCGCCCGATTCCTCCCGCACGGTGCTCAGCCGCAGCGCGCTTTCCCGCCCCAGCCCTATCGCGGACCGCCCCCCGCCGCTCCACCTTCCGCTGCTCACCCCCAGCGACTCCGCGCTCTCCCGCTCCCTGCTTCCGCCCGCCTCTGGCCGCTGCGGCTGCGGCGCCGCGCGGGTGGGCGCGCCGGGCGCGGCACGCGCGGGCGGGCCGCCGCTCATGGCGGAAACGGGCGGCGCGCTGGGGGTCGTGCTGGCGTCGCCGCGGCTCGCAAGGCTGTCGCCGCCCTGCCGCTGCCCGTGGCTGTAGCTCCGGCTGTTGCTAGGATCGTTGCTTCGGTTGTAGCTGACACCGTTGCTGCGGCTGTAGCTCTGGCTGTCTCGTCCACTGTCCCGTTGACTGTCCCGTTGACTACAGCGTTGACTGTAGCGTTGACTGTCTCTCGGGCAGTAGCTGTCGCGATGCGGACCAGGTCCCCCCACCGCTCTCAACACCGCCTCGTCCGCCTCCTCCTCTTCCTCCTCGTCCCGCTCCCGCTCACGCGCAAGTTCCCGCTCCCGCGCACGTTCCCGCTCCTCCTGCTCCCAGTCGTCAATTCCGCCGAGATTTGCGCGATCGTCGTTAGCGTCTCCCGCGTCGCCTTTGACCATAGACGACAGGACGTTAGGCGCGAACTCTAAGGAATGATCTAAGAACGGCTCGGCTGCAAGATCGTCGTCTTCGTCTGCCTCCTCCTCTTCCTCCTCGTCCACGTCGTTAACCTCCACTTGGCGACTGTTACCGACGCTCGCGACGTTCGCGACGTTCGCGAAGTTAGGGTTCCTGTCGCCCAGCACGCCGTTGCTCCACGCGCCGCTCTCGTAAAAGCCGCTCTCTCGCTTCGCCCCCGCCACTGGCTTCGATCGACTCTGCAAATCCGGAATCGCGGAGCGGCCTTGACCGTCGTACGGCGTTTCCTCGCCCGTACGACTACGTTTCACCTCCTGCCGGTTCATCTCCCACGTGGAGCTCCCCATGTTGGATGAAACTCGACTCTTTTTCACTCCGACCGGTCCGTACTCCTCGTTTCCGTTCTCATCCGCCCACGCTGCTGCCTCCTGCCCGTAATCGCGACTCTCCATTCCCATGTTTGGCATGTCCATTGATTCGTACGCTGCTCGTCCTGCCGCCACGGGTTGCTGATACTGGTGCTGCTGATCCATTCCTCGCACTCCGCGCGTCCCTTTGCTCCACCCGCCTCCTTTCATGGCGTCCCGACGAAAAAACACACGTGGCCTAATTAGGAATCTCCTGAACGCCTATCAAGCTAAGCTAGTAGTCATGACAGCTGGAGAAATGCCTTTCAAAGATGGCCTGCGCGTTGCTGACACATTTGGGGTGCAATGCCATGCACAGCGCGGAGTGCTTTGGCGGGAAGTTCATTTTTGAATCTGCGGATTCCAACTTGAACTCGTTCTCACAGGTTCTCGATCGCAACCGGATCCTGAAACTGATATCATTACAGCCTTTTTTCTGACGTGCTCGTGACCAGCAACTACTCCCACGGAGTGCGTTTTATGTGTCACTTCCGTTCCGAGCCCTTCTAAAACGCGACCTTGTAAACGACTGACACACCATAGCGGCTCGCTGCTAGACGCAGAATTCGTTTCAAGGAAGTAGCGACCCTGAAATTGTCTCTATGAAGAGGAACAACCAATTCCATTATATGGAATGACTAACAGAAGTGCCACAAAAACTGCACAATTTATGTGTCAACGCTATGATCAAAGCAACCGAATATTAATAGAAGTTCAATCATTCCATATGAACCTGAGAATTTTAAAAACATGATACTTGGTGAGAGAGCACAAGTTCTGTTACGAATAGTAAATTGAGAAAGGCAATGTGAACTCCTAACCGCAGCAAGTGAAGCACGCAATGCCTCTCAAAGTAGGAATGCAACGGAATGATGAGATTAGGAATGTGGGTGATACAAATAGTAAACCCAAACTGAGTTGTACTCACTAAGGAGCACCTCACTACAGCCTATCACAAATATCAACATTTGAGACACCCCCATAGGCTAAGTGAGGGGCATCAAAGCAAGCAGGGTGAGAACAAACGGTCACAAGACCAGTCAATGCAAGAAGTAAAGCAAGCTGAGGGAGGATCTCAAGGACACCATACAAATTCCGAGCACAAGCAAGCGGCCACAAGGCCAGTTCAAAAGTTCACTAGGATATATACAATAGCAAAGCACAACAAGCACAGCAAGCAACAAGGCTACAGCAACCGAGGACCTGCCCCAACAAGCCCTAACTGCACACAGAACCGGTGGTGATCACCAGGCACCAAAGCCTTGGTGAAGAGGTCAGCAGTCTTGGCCTATGAGGCCACAAAGTCCAGGCGCACATGGCCGCGTCGTTGTAGCTCACACAGGAGGAAGTACCGGACGTCGATGTGCTTCACCCTGGTCTCCAGTCGAGGCTTGCGACACAAGAGAATCATGGCCTTGTTGTCAGCGAACAAGGTCGGAGCAGTGCGAGGTCGCTCACTAAGGTCAGCAAGCAAGACGGTCAACCAGCGAAGCTCCTGAGCCACCATAGCACCGGCGTACATCTCTGCCTCTGCACTGGACGAAGCCACCGACAACGACCGTGTGGACCGCCATGACACAGCCCCAGCTCCCAGACTGAAACAGTAACCCTGGGTCGAGCGCTGAGTCTCCACGTCTTCAGCGTAAGAAGAGTCACATAGGCCAGTCAGCTCAACTGGCCGAGTCCCTCCAAGCACAAGCCCCATGCCTGATGTAGTCGCCAGGTACTTCGCCACCCTCACGGCAGCCGTCTAGTGAACAGGACGGTGCCTCCCAGGTCCAACAAAGTGAGAGAGGACGCTAAGAGGGTAGGCGAGGTCCGGGCGAGTACAGGTCATCAGGTACATGAGGCAGCCAACAAGCTCTAGATAGGGACCACTGGGCTCAAAGGGCTCGTCGGGGAAGGGGCCGGTGAGTTTGTGGTCTACAGCAAGAGGAGTGGGCTGTGTGGTAAAGAACTGAAACCCGAACCGCTGAAGGACCTGCTGCACCATGTGTGACTGAGTCAACGTGATGGTGCGAGCGGCTCTGTCCCTGGTGATCTGCAGGCCAAGGTAGCGCTGCAGTTCACCAAGGTCAGTGCACGTGTGTCTCTTCTGCAATCCGGACTTCACCTCAGCCAGAGTTGCCCTGCCTGGTGTAGCAAAGACTAAGTCGTCGATGTAGACGAGTATAAAGAAAGGAGTGGATCCGACACGAACAAACAGTGACGGGTCAGCAGAGGAAGGGCGAAACCCTAGGTCACGAAGCATGGAGCGAAGAGTGTTGTGCCACTCACGGGGCGGCTGGCGGAGACCGTAGAATGGCCGCCTCAGGCTCCACTGGGTCCCAGTAGGGAAAGTACCAGTGAAACCATGAGGAGGGCGCAGCCAGATCTCCTCGTGCAGTCGTCCCTGGAGAAAGGCAATGGAGAAGTCGAGGGAGTGGAGCTCGTAGTCACGCTGTGCTGCTACGTATAGTAACACCCGAAGTGTAGTCATCTTCGGGGCCGGAGCGAAGGTCTGAAAGAAGTCAACTCCCTCGCGCTGACTGAAGCCTCTCGCCACATAGCACGCCTTGAACACCGGGGGTGATCCAAGCGGCCGCTTCACCTTGAAGAGCCACATGCCATCGACTACGTTCGCCCGGGGAGGGGGAACTGCGTCGACGTAGGTGCCTGTGGATCTCCAAGACACCAACTCTGAGTCCATGGCCGCCTTCCACTGAGAGGCCCACGGCCCTGATACTGCCTCACGGTACGTGCGAGGAGTCGGTATGTCAAGGGCATGGGGGTCTCCCTCAGGGGAAAGCAGCATGGCACAGAGAGTGGGAGAAGCGGCTGCCAGGTACTCCAGCTTAGAGTGCCAGTCCTCTAGGACGTCACAGCCAAGGGCAAACTCACCCCCGTTGGACAGAGGACGGGTAGGCGGAGCGGGCACCACACGAGTGCTGTAGTCAAGATGGATGGCGGCGGCAAAGTCAGCGACAGCGGAGAGCCGAGACAGACAGCGGAGAGAAACGAGGGTCGGTGACACCAGTGACGAGAACACGGGAGACAACAGGGCAAACAGCACGGTAGTAGTCGGAGATAGGAGTAGGGGAGACAGGAAGAGAAGACGGAGGAGGAGACGGGAGAACTTACACTAGAGGAGGAGAATGACGAAGAGAGGTACAAAGGAGGGCAATGTGGAGGTCGATAACGGGGGACGAGGGACAAGCACTCGGATGACAAGGACGGGAACGGTGGTGACGAACAACAGGAGGAGGAGACTGCAGTGGAGGAGAAGACCAGACCGCCGGACGGGCATCAGGAGGAGAAAATGTAGGACCAAACGCAAGAGGAGACGGAGGGCGGATAGGAGGAGAGGAGGGAAGACGAAGGGCCCGGAGGCCACTCACGGGCGGGAACAACTGCCGCTCCAGAGGGAGCTGCTGCGGCTGCGGTGGCGGCGGTGGCTGCTGCTGCTGCTGTGGCTGCCGCTGCGGCTGCCGCCGCCGCTGCTGCTGCTGCTGCTGCTGACGCTGGCAGGCCGCCTGGTAATGCGTGTCGTGGTGGTGGGGAGGCGGAGTGCTCTCCGCAGACGTAGTGCCCCCGGCTCAGTCGCCTCAGAACTAGCACCCCCATAACCAGTGTCCCCAGAAGGGGTACCAACAGGGTCAGGGTCCCCAGCTCCAGTGCCCCCTGTCCTAGCACCCCCGTTGCCAGGACCTTCAACTCCAGCACCCCCAGAACTAGCACCTCCCGTGCCAGCACCTCCAGCTCCAGCACCCCCGGAACTAGCACCTCCAGTGCCAGCACCTCCAGCTCCAGCACCCCCAGGACTATCGCCACCTGTGCCAGCACCTCCAACTCCAGCACCCCATCAAACGAGCACCCCCAGACCGAGTACCGCCAGTGGCTGCACCTCCAGCTCCAACACCAACCGAGTCCATAGTAATCTGTCGCGGAAGTGCCGAAGGCTGCTGAGGGGACTGTGAGGAGGACTGCGGGGAGGGAGATGCTACCTGACGCACGACCGAGGGTAGAGGGGTAGCGTGAGACACACCTGACGGGGCAGGACCAGAGGGGGGTGGGGGTACCGGAGGAGCGAGAGCAGGGGGAAGAGAGGGTGCGAGGAAAAGGGGGGGAGGGGGAACCGGGAGACCTCAACAGGGGTACCGGGTGTAGTAGGACACTGACTCGTCGAACCGGACGTCACGGGAGTCTAGGATCTGGTGGAGGGGCGGGTGGTAGAAGGACCAGTCGGCCGAGGCTACCGGGAAACCAAGGAAGACACAGGGGACAGCGCGAGGCGAGAGCTTGTTCGCAGAGGTGTCGCGGACAAGCGCAAGGCAGTCCCAGACACGAAAGGCTGACCCAACACCAGGGGACCCGGTCCAAAGACTGGTCGGTGAAGCCTCTAGTCACGAGACGCGCAGTGGAGGTTCAGATGGTGAGCGACGTAGCGAACCGCGTAGGGCCACAGAAAATGGGGCGCACGGGCATGAATCATGGACGTGCGGGCGACCATGACCAAGCCAATGCGGCGCTCAGCAACCCCATTCTGCTGTGGGGACTCCGGTAGCGTCCAGGACTGTACAATGCCCTGCTCGCCGCAGAATCTGGCAAGAATGCCTGAGAAAAACTCACCCCCACAGTCAGAGTGGAGACAGGAGACATGACGGCCACGAGAGCCCTCAGTGGCTAGAAGCCACCGGATCAGCGTAGAAGTCACCTCGGACTTCTTCGCGAGAGGAAACACTGTGGTGTACCTGGAGAAGTCGTCGACGACCACCAGAAAGTAGCGCTCCCTCTCAGGCCCCTGCGTAGGTGCAGGGCCCCAGACATCCAAGTGGAGTGTCTGGAAGGGAGCAGTGGCCGGATGAAGAGAGGAGGAGTGCGGAGTGGCACGAAGACGGCCATCGACGCAAGGAGTGCACGGGGGTGCAGGCGAGGGAGGGAGCGACGGGAAGACGCAAGGAGACCTGAGACAAGACGGTGACTAGCCATAGTGTGGAGGCAGGGGATCGACGGGTGGCCAAGATGGTGGTGCCACAGGACGGTCCGGTGGGTGAAAGACCGATACGAGCAAGACGGAACAACCTGACCAAACGCGACAACCGGAGGGGACGCAGCTACCTGACTGGACTCGACAACCGGCGGAGGCACAGGAACCTGGGGGGACGCTGCGACCTGAGGTGACGTGGACACCG